GCTGGTCGTTCAGTACATAAATAATGTTGTGTAAGTTAAAAAAAAAAACACTTTACAGTGGCTAAAAAAAGAGATGCCACTTTAAAGATAAAATAACTGTATAGAAATGCATTGATTAAAAATATTATAATTCTAAAAAATTTAAAAGTGCTTCATTTTCGAGATTGTTATTGTATGATTTGTACAGTTGGTTCTGTGTATAAAAACTCAAAGGGTTACTCGTAGCTGTTCAGAAATTTCCTGTGCAGCCTCCTGGTTTGGTTTTCCTTTAACAACCACCTGATTAACTCTTTGACATCCGAGACTGAGATTTCTATGTTATGTTTGTATCACTGTGTGTGACATGAACACTGTACATGACGTGTGCATTATGAGCAGCTCATCATCAAGGCCAGTGAAATACTAGACGTGTAAATGCCTTGATTTTGATTGAATGTATACAAAAACAAGACGGTTTGAGTTCATTATTTCAAACACTAACATGTTTTCCAAGATGATGCAGTGTCGGTGGACTGTTGGGGCGTTTTATTTTTTAATTAACTCATATTATTCCTGCTGTGACTAATAGAAAGTACGGTTTAATAGATTAAAACTCAGCGATGGTTCTGATCTATAAAACTGAGCCTTTGAATGACTATGATTATATTTGTAAGTGGATGAAAATCAACATGAAATAGAGGAATGTTGCCCAATTTAATATGTTAAAAAAATGGCATAAAAAAACAACCCTCCTGCAGTACTGTATGTATTTTTGTGTTAATCTGAAGACTCTGCTGAGTGTACATGTCTGTGATGTAAGCATCTCTCTCCATTTGTATTTTTTTACTCATGCAAGGATTCATAGAGCATTCATTATCAATACACTAAGGCTACTGCCCAAGCTGTGGTGTTTTGTACAGAGTTGTGTGTGATTCTCTGTGTCTGATCTCGTCGCAGACCTCATTTCAAAACGGCAAGCTGAGTTGATTTTTTTATTTATCTCATTTCCAGCTGTGTCAAAATTAACAACAGCAGTTAATAAGGGTGAGGGAGGCTTTGGCAGGCAGGAGCAACATGCAGCATAGTTGCATCACATATGCTGATGCGCAGAGGGTCCGTGTTTCAAACAGCTCATGTTGAGAGCTGTTTTATGGACAGGTGGAGCCAGTAGCCATCACTTAACTCTTGCCTAGTGTTTGAAGGTGAGATCTTCTGGATCAAACCAGTTCTTGTTAAAGGTCCCTACTGGCTTTGACCTACTTCTTTCTAGGTCGATGTCATGGTCTCATTTTTATACTATAATACCACAGCTGAGACAGTTTTAGTTACATGGATTCACAGTAAGAAAGGGATTTTTCTGGGCAAACACACAAAGAGACAATGGTGACATGATATAGGAATGTTTACAGATAATTAAGAGTCATAAGTGTTGATATTGAAGAACAACTAGGTTGGTATACATTATAAAGGAACAGTTCACCCAAAACACAATAAACCTTTTATTTCTTTTTACCAAGTATGTAATCTCTATAAACAGATATCACCATACAGTATATATACTGAATTTGTAGGTGACAGGACAAAGTTTTGGAAGAGTTCTGTTTTTCATTTGTAGTCTGAGTATAGACCAATTACGTTAGAGCGGGAGATAAACAGTCTATATGGAGAGGTGAAGCACAACGGCTGAAATGCAATCTCGGAATCCACTGACTGTTGATGGGTTCAGATTTAATATGATTTAGCGTAATATTAGGTTTTTTTATGCATTTATCTGCATCGATATGCTAATATCTGTTTATAGAGATTAGCCGAAATGACTGGTGCACCAAAGAGGAGGTCTTGGCGCAGATATTTGCTCACTGTACTGGATCTCCCAAAATCCCGCCTTTTTTTTTTGTTTTGTTTTTCTGAGCTGAAAAAGCCATGACCCGCCCTAATCTCCCTCTGATTGGCTATTTTCATTGCCTGAATCGGTTGGGTTTAGGCAAGAAGAGTGGGAGTGGTTAGGGTTTAGGGTGAGAAGGTCAGGGTAAGCCAATCAGAGGCAGAGTAGGACAGGTGATGGGTTTGGAAATTGCCTAAAATGCTATCTATGTTTCCAAACAGAATATTGTCAGTGGCATTTGGTTCATAGAATGCAAAATCCCAAAGGGAAAGAAAATATATACACAGAAAAGAGAAAAACTCATCAGCAGCAACAAAGTTGTTCCTAATAAGAAATTAAGCTTGTTGTGAATAATTTTCAGTTGCGCTTGCTGTTCATAACTTCAATTTAGCCTGGTCATAACATAAGTGTTTGCTGGAATTTCACAAATTACTAAATTAAAAGGGTTGCAACATACAAAATACTACCTGACAGGGTTGCACTAGCTATAGTGCTGTCAAATCAAGAGCAATCAACTGTCGATTTCAACAGGAAGTTACTGTAACATCAAAAGCTAACATTGTTTTAGAGAAATTGTCTTTACTATATGGGGAGATTTGATTTCACAGCCAGCACTCCCCACAGAAACAACCAGATATACATCATACATGAAATATATGCTTGGTTACATCTACACACACACACATTCATGCAAGCTCTGCTCATTTTTGAAGTCCTGTATCTACGACCAGATGGCATCAATGTGAAGTGTGGGCTGAGGGGGTGATCAGTGCCATTTGCTATTTTGGGTGCGAGGCATACAAAAGATATATTATTTGTAAATGTAAGTAGTACTTTGTTTTATATTCATCAGCATATGTGGAGAAATTTGTGTTTGTGAGTTAATAGGTTAGTAATATGCTGAGAGGAAAAATATCTACACTAATGTAAGTGATATTATTTATGTTATAGTCATTTAGTCAAATTCGTAATTTGAGGTATGTTGTGTTATTTTTGTGAAATGTAATTTAAAATCTTCAAGTTTTACATCATTATTAAATAACATTTATCGAGGTTCAGGTCACATCCGTTGACCATATTACATTTGCATTTGCATTTGCATGTTATACTACTCTTTACTCTAAACAGCTCATACGTTATTTAAGTTGAGACAGTTTTATTTCTGTAACCCAGTATCAGAAATCACAAATTTGCCTCAATTAGCTTTGCAATCTGTACAACACTGAAACATGTCATTCACACAAAGAGAAAAAAATACAAAGCACACAGAGAAGAGGCTGAACCTCCAGCAGGACGGAGTTCCAGATCCAAAGGAGGATGAGGCACTGACAGTCAGGACAGAGGGAGAGAGGTCCCAGGGGAGCCAACGGTCCAGCACAGAGAAGCTTGAGTTAAGAGAGAGTGGCACACAGTGCAAGTGTTGGGGATATCAGCCGTGAAAATGTCTGCCTTCTCTTAATTATAATAGAACTAGATGGCACTTGGCTTATGGTGCTCAAAGCGCCAAAGAAAAAAAAAAAACGAAGAAGAAGAAATACATTTGAAAAACTCAGCAGTAATCACTTTCCAGAAATCATGACCTGGTTACTCATAATAATAATCCACAGACCTTCTTGTGAACAGTTTTGTGTAGGAACTATATTCTTACTACCAAACCACACCAGCCAACCGTATCACTGCGCAGAAGGAAGAGTGCATCTACTGCTAGCTCACCTAGCACCACTGAGCTAGCTAACGTTACAGCTCACCTGAGGAGGATGCAATTAATGTTTACATCATGTGCTGTCAGGAGCAGAGCCTCTCTTCCATGAGTTGGGAAGTCACAGTGGGCTAATCTAATGTGTGTAACAGCAGCAACAAAAAGTTTGCTGATCCTGCGGGGAATCGGGTTGGTCCCCTGGTGCTGGGTTTGCACTGAGTTCAAGTTGCACAGCCACTAATTGGAGGTCCATCTCCACAGCTGCCATCTGTTCTTCTCCCAGCAAAGTAGTCTCCTAGTGGCAGGGGGTAAAGTGGAGGAACCGTATGGTGCACCAGCAAGCTAAAGTGTACTTTTATTATACAGAAGTGGCTGTGGTTATTAACTAAAATAGGCTGGAAAAACAATAGATGCAGTACGGGCTATTTGTATATTTTATACACATTTAGATTCACTGTTAGATTTAACTTTGAATTGTTACATATAAACATAAACAGCTACATCTGTTGTTTTATATGAACTTCTGTCTTAAATGTAAGGAAAATTAGCTTAATATTAAAAAAAGAGGCTCTTGCCTTCTGCCAGGCCACCATTGTAAATAAGAATTTGTTCTTAATGACTTGCCTGGTTAAATAAAGGTTAAATAAAATAAAAATAAATAAAGAATATATGAGCTAGAAAGTTGTAACCACATTTTCACATTTGGCGCCTTATTGCAGCCTGCTACACAACAGTAACATGTGGAGCTGGTTGCACTGGCAGCTTAGCCTACTCAAGAGTTTCACACATTACTAGATTAAATCTCGATGATACGTAGGGATTAGTTGTTACTGAATATTTACACCCACTAACTGCCAGGTGTAACTTGTGTAGCAAACTGAACCCACTGCCACCTATAATATGGAATATGGTCAGTATTTCTGGCCTGAAATTTGATAAATGCTGTCTAATAATAATGATGAATAATGATGAAGATTTTAAAACAAACACAATATTTAAATGAATCCCATCAAGCATTTTCAAATCAGACTGTATGTGTATGGAAGGTGCAAAACTAGCCATCAGTGATACTCACCTTATGGGCCGCGGGTCAAATCTGGCCCCCGATAGTCAGCTGGGTGACCCCACAACCATTTCCTTATTCATACTAAAAACAAATTGATTCACACTGGGATTCATTTTCTTACTTTTAATATAAATACAGTGCCTGAGTGCTTAAAAAGCATCAAAATAGAGCTTGCATATAAAAAAAAGTGCCAGGAGAGGACTCGTGGATGCCCTGACAGAGGTCTGGTATAATCCCTGAATGTTCTCAATATTTAGAAATGCCTTGCGTACACCTGACCTATGTTGGACTGCAGCAGCTGCCCCCCTGCCTCCTGTCATTTTGCAAAAGTGGCCCCCGGGCAAAACAAGTTGAGTGTCCCTGTATTACATCCATCTCCTGTGCTCTCATGTATTTAACATCAAGCTCTGGATCTGACCTATCCTTGGCTCTTGGATGTGTATTTTAAATACAAAACTCAAAAATACATGAACAAATGCATTACTCTGATGTTTATTAAATAACTTAGTTTAGGCTGTATCATCAAACCAACAAAGCACTGCTGCTGCTTCAGTTTATCTCCAGTCCCTGATAGTGTTTATCAGTTTCATACAATCTAAACAATATTGTTTTTCTCTCATGAGCGTGTTTTTGTCCTCATCTTCTTGTCCCTCCTCTGCCTGTTTGTCCACTCAGCTATTAAAAGTGAAATCCTCAAGATAATCTCAGAAGGAGATTCAGGAATGTGTGCCAGGAGGACTGGGACGGGGGATAGGGACTAAATAAGGACAAAAATGAATGCTGCACCACTGAGAATACATTTCAGAGGAACTGCTGCCATGAATCACAATTTGCTTTAACTCGCATCCACTTGTTAGAGTTACACCGATCTGAACTTCATGATTCCTTTGATACTTTACCCAGGTGGGTACATGATTTTGCCAAAATAGGTGCTACAACATGAGGCTGGATCCAAGCTGCACCGTTTAACATGAGAGCTCTTTGATCAGCTTACAGTTTAATAGTTTGTGCTGCTTTCAGATGATGCAAGTGTGTGTATAGCTTCCACTGATGCACTGGATTGCTTCTGTATGTAGCACTGTAAATACTGAGCACTGAGCTGAGGGGAGTGTTGCCCTTCAGCACTACTGGAGAGTTGCAAGATGTGCAAGAAAATCTTTTGAGTTTCAGCCTTTCAAAACACAAACATTCAACTATTTGTACTTAAATCTTCAGCAGATTATCGTAACTTTTTTGTGTACAGATAGTGACAAATGTGCATTTCTTTACTGATAAGGGAAACAGTTATGAAATTGCCAGTCTGGCATGTTTGTTTATCGCTTGTAAAAATCCAGTTTAATAGCACCTAATCATAATATTGTAATTGATAATACATTCAGTGATAAACAACATAATGAATTTACATATTCATGTAATACATGCTAGACTGTGAAATATCATTCAATTTTAATTCTTAAATCTGTGTCCACTGTCAGTTTTTAACAGCTGTTCTCAGTCACATTGTTATGCTGGTGCTACTTATTTTAAATCTGCATTTGGCAACATTTCGTTTAAGATAAGATCAGTCTTAACAGCTTAAACCACACGTTGGTGCTGAGCATTGTATTGTTCCTAATTGACACCCTGTAGATTTGCTCAAATTATTCTTGTGCTGTCAAGTGTTGTCACTGGTGGGAGACAAGGGAGTCGTAAATTAATATTTAAGAGCAGAACATACATCTTGCTCCCGAGCAGCAGCAAGTGAGACTTTCTACAATTATTGTGCAGAGAAAATATGTTTTCCTCATCATCTCCACCTCCCACTGTGTTCGGGGGTGGAGTATTGCCAAAACTTTAAATGAAAACAAAAGAAAACCCATTAAAAACAAGTTGCCAAAAAGACTTTTCCTCTTATCTGCAAATTCCAGTTCTTCGTTCAAAATAAACACACAGTCCATCTCGCAGTACAGAATGATATGGAGGGTAAAATGCTCAAAAACCATGTAGATCATTCAGAAATTAACAGTAAATTTTCAGTACTTCTTAATGTTGAGTTAAGATTACATAAGCATTGCATAATGAGACTCCTCTTGTATGAAAGGATGATGGTAGTCTGGATTGAATCATTGAACTATGCAAAGATCTTAGTGATGAACTCCCGGAAACGTTTGGCATACTGCTCTGGATGAACTGTTGAGATCTCTGCTCCTGCCTGCACAAACACACACAGAGACAGTCGATTAGAGGAAACTGAATCTCAAATGAAAGCCTTACAGGATAGAGATGTGAGGACAGCATATGCCAACCAGCCCCTTTAAAGAGTCTCTCACCCCGTGTTTGACAGCCTTGGCAGCATGAGCAGCTTTCTTCTTGGTGTCGTACTGCGTCAGCACGTCAATCAGACCCATAAAATACACCTCCCTCTGGGGTGCACCTACATGAGAGTGATTCACAGCAGCTGGTGAGAGATATGCACATATGATCTTTTCTGCTGGTATCCCAGCACGAGAAGAGGTTTAAGTGTATTGCAGTACAGGGTTCCTACAACCAGTGGTGGATTGTCCTAAAGGCAACATAGGCTAGAGTGCCACCCATAGGGATGGCACCAAAATGACACCCAAAAGGAAATATTCTTTTTGACATTAAAAAAACAAAAAACGCCAAACATAAAGGAAAAACGATTCAAAGATCTAATGCTAACAGTCGGTCTGTAGTAGTGGTACCACCTCTTGTCTTGGCAATGCAGTTCACCCTAATGTCTTTATCAGCAAGTGATCATCAAGAGCTCCTTTTACACCACCCCCCCATGACAGGAATTTCATGCTGCTATGCTGTTATGATACAATGGCGGAATGGGGGAGAGAGTTGTCACAGCTTTAAGATGGTATCTGAGGATATAACACCGCCAAAACAAGGTCTGTATAAACAGGACAGCTGGCAGGATGGGATCATAGGCAGCACAGGTGTGATGTTTTGACAACATGTTATGCGTGCGATCCACTGCGGGAGATTTTAAAAGTAGCTGATAGCAGTTAGCAGCTAACTCAAAGAAGAACAGCAGCTGAAAATTAGGAAAACATTAAGGAACAGGAGCTCCTTACCCTCTGAGCAGAGGACAAGATCAGCCGCCATACATCAGGGACAGTAAATGATTATTATTGCCATGTTAATGTCTTTGTTATTGTTTATAAAACGCTGCCAACGCATACATTGTATGTCACACTAGAGGCCGACGCTGTTGTTTTATATGTGCGTCACACCTCTTGATTCTGTGATGCCGGTATGCTGTCTAAAAATCACACATAGGAGAGGCATAATGCCACTGTTGTTTGGTTCTGTGTAAAAATACAAAGGTGGTATAAAGACAGGACTTCGTAAAGGCCCTGTAACACGATCTCTGTGTAAAGAAGGCTACAGTCAGACCTTGCTAGGGCATCGATGGGTGTGGTGGAGTGTATGTGGAGAGCATTAGAGGAAGAGAAAATGGAAAGGCAGAAGCCATCTGGGAGGCAGTGCATTAAAAAAAAGGAAAAAATGCTAATTTGCATATACCATTTTCTTTTATTGTTTACTTATTAGCTTAGTTGTTTATTTTCATTAGCTCTTGTTCTTATTTGTAATAAAAACAATAAATTATAATAATAACAATATTTCTGTTCTTGGGGGGCTGAGACAGGTGAAGCTTGCCCAGGACTCTGAACTTGCAAAGCCCGGCACTGCCTATAACCTACTTCAACTCACCAGAGACATGTCAGTTGTCAGGACTCACCTACGGCGCTTTGAATAGCATACACATCCACATAAGGGTCAAACTCGCCAGGACCCATGGGCTTAAAGGAGTTCATATAGCCGCCGATACCCTCAGGTGACGTGGATCCTGGAGCGGGAGCCAAGCCGTTTTCATCCTCCTCTTCCTCTTCATAGGACGACTCCATCTCCTCCTCCTCCTCCCTCTCAGCCCGCTCCACATCATGGATTCCCAGCAGCAGGCTGTAATCCATGATCCTCATACGCACCAGAAACTGCAGTGAGAGGATCACATACACATGCACAAATCATGTCAGGGAAAACAACGCCTGCATTCTTCTTTAACACTGTTTTTGTACCTCAATATCTCTGTTGAGCTTGTCCATGATCTTCTCCCTCTCCTCATCGCTCACGTAAACTTTTTGCATGTTATTCCTGAAGTCTACATCCTTGTAAGTGGGCAGCTCCTTCACCTGGAAATACAGAGTGAAGGTCATCCACTGTGAATTTACATTTAGCCTAGAGATCACAATATTCATTAGCATTTTTCTCATTAAAACACAATCAGCCGTCCTATTTTCAGTGGTATAAAAGTCAAACGACATTACCCCCTAATATTGTTTTCAGAATCAGCACAGTTGGAAAGATCAAAGGTCTCCACAGCCCTGCAGTCATTAAAACTCGATCCATTCAATGCAATCCATTCTATTTTTCCATCTTATCGAGGTCAGGGCAAACAGAGGGGCTCTTGTGTTATTTAAAGTCTACTGCTAAGTTTTTTTCTGGGAAAACATTTTGAAAAAATCTAATATTAAAATCACTTTTGTCACAAACAATTAAAATTAGATACAATACAGGCAATGTGATTTCACACTCTGCCCTCAGTTACACATTTCAGACAGTAAATGTCTCTTATTTGTCGTTAGAGATACAGCATGTCAAACTGAGGCAAACAGCATGAATGTACACTCACACCTGCAGACGGGCTGGTGGCACAGCTGCAGTCGATTCTACCTTGTTAACTTGTCCTCGTTAAGCATGCAACAAAGAGTTATAGATTTAATTACACTTTTCTCCATTTACTTACAGTTCTCTGAGACCTTGCCATCATTCTTTCACTTCCGAGGGTCTTAACATTTCTAATTTTGGTTAGAAAATTAGCATCGAACTGGTTCAGGGAGCTCTTAAGAGGGCATACAGCCAATTTTACAAGAGAAAGTCAGTTTACTCTTCAGGAGAAATACCAATCTGCCTGTAAAAACAGTTGAGTTGACATTGTCTGAGGGGGAGGTACATGGGAAATTTATATGGAGGCACAGTACACATCACTGGAGCACCACTTTAAAAAGTGTAGACCAGAAAATCATTTTCGTGGTGTAAATAATACTGAACCTAACTTTTAGTTTACAGCAACATTCTTCCTTTAACAAGTCAGGGAATACAGCAGCTGTGCCAAACTTTTTCTTTTCCTTGTTTTCAGTGTTTTATGAAATATCTGACCACGTTAATTAAAGGTAACTCAGCTACTCTTGCAAAATCTAATTCATTATCTTTTCAGTGAGTCTGTGTGACATCAAAAAAAAAAAAAGCATGGTGACGTGAGTATAAAATGACTTTTCTTTTTGTGGCATCCATATCAGCAAACTGTCTCTTAAAGCCCAGGCACATCAAACCAACTTCAGATAACTAGCGGTTATGAAAGCAGACTGTTGCGTCACCTCACATCACCCCCATCTCGGCCAAAAAGTAGCACATGAACATGTCGCAAAAACGCCAGCCAACAGCCAACCAACACGTATGTTCTGCGCCTGCATGAGAAGAAATATCTCTACAGATCAGCAGACAGCATCAGTGGAATCTTTAGCCAAAAAGGAAACCAGAAGACTACTCTTACCTTTCTTGCATTTCACACAGCACTTAGAAAAAATTTGAACATCCACAACTCCCACCTCCCTCCAAAGGCCTACTCCCCCCTCCTCCATTACGTCCTCATTACATCTATGATAGATGTAGGCGTTGGCAAGGTAACGCAACCCCGGAGTTTTAAGACTCAACCGGAGTCAGTGATGACTGATGAGTTTTAGAATAGGGTTACAGTGCTAACGTTAGATAGTAGCGTTAACGTTACTAGTAAGTGGAAACACACAAGTTACGCGAGCGGTTACGTCAGTCGGAGGCCTCTACGTGGAGAAGACAGACAGGACGCTCGGCCAATCATTGCATTCGGTCCGTATGCAATGATTGGTCGGAGTTTTCTTAAAAGCATATGAGAATGGTATAAGTGAGTTTTTATCTCTGGTGGAATTCACTTACATTTTAGTGTGCCATCAGCTTATTAATAGCATTTTAACCTAAACAAAGAAAAGTGCAAAAATTTCCAGAAAGGTAAGTGTCACTTTAATGTTAGTCAGCCTGTTAGCACATTAACAACACAATCCAATGTTGAAAGAACAGAGCAACGCAAACCATCATGAAATGTTTCTGTTGAATAGCTCAATGGCTAAAGAAGAAAGAATCTACCTTATATAACAAGTTTGTTTGGGTCTCACTCCCTCTTGACTTTAGCTGTTTGTTTACTTTTCTCAATTCTGTTTCTGTTTTCTGTTCCGCTGTTGCCAAATAAAAAAAGGTGATGAGGGGCAATTGTGCAGGACACACTGCACCGACGAGGGCTGCAGATGCTCACTGACAACCCAACTTTGACTTTGCTTGGTGTGCTATGGACTTATAGTGTTGTTATATTGATTCGTAACCCCCAACTCACCTGCTACTCAGCTTTCACATTAGTAATATTATTCTGTACAGGAATAGACTTGTGTCATCATCTACGTGAAATTTGTTTCTGTTGTTACAATAGTATAGAAAAGATCGCCAATCCCAAGATCCCAAACCTCTACAATGGAGTCAACCTTCTGCCTGCTATGATTTATATTTTGGAGACAATGACAAGAACGACCTTCTTGCCTGTCTTCCTATGTTATCACCCATGGTTGTGCAGGTCAGAAGATGGACGAGACCGGTGGTGGCATTGAGAAATGTCTTTGCAACTCTACTTGCTGATAGCTTCTTGCGTTAAAAAGCAGTCAACTTCCATGTGTTGGTTTTCACACCTGATGTGAACCTTACCCGAGTACACATGAACCATACTGAGACCACCTTTTTGATGAACTATGCCCAGGTACGGTAGGAAGTGTTCACTCTAATCAAACACTCTATACCCTTTGTGTGTACTCTGTGTACTCTGATCCAAGTCGCTGATGTGAAAGCCTCCCTAAACTCTTCAAGACAAAATTCATGCTTGCTTGTTACTGAAAGCTTTGGTAAACTGCCAATAATCTTCACAGTTGCAGAAAGTACAGTTCAGCTAGAGCTTTTCATATAACCTTTACCTTAATTTGATCTCACCTTCTCTTTAAAACTTGCTTCACGAGACACGAGGGATCCCTGAGGGAAAAAAAACCCAGTTACTAAGAGGCCACAATACTACAAAAACCATATTTACCTTCACAATCCTGGCTAATTTTCTATCAGTTACAAGCCCCTGAGAGGCAGTTTCTTCATACATGATACATGAATGGCCATATATTCAACAGTCAGGTTGGGAAAATAAGCCAAGGCAAAACTAAAAACTCAGATGCTTCAACAGGCCAGGCTGCCAGTGTCCCATTAATAATAAGATGTCTGTTCTGATTACTCTCTCTGAATCCTCATCTAGCTGCACGCCTCCTGCTGGATTTACCTTGAGGTCATACTTCCTGTGTACGTGCAGTCTGTGGCTGAACATGTTCCTCATAACTAACAGGTAGGTGTCCTCGTTCTCCACAGTGACTCTGTACATGGCCAGGAACTGAGGGAGCAGCGTACTGCCGTGGCAGGTGACGATGTGCTAGAAGAGACAAACATTGAATACCCAGTGAATGATGGGAAAATAAAGGATGCGTCAGCCCAAAATGTAGCACAATAAGGGAATGTTTGGACGTAGTATGCCTGTTTTGGTTGTTCTTGTGCAAGCACACGAGTGAGGTGATACACAGTCCTGCCAATAATTTCACACCATTCTAATGAGCTACAGGTGGCAGTAAGAAAGTTGCAGAGAAACGCAACAATATGCCAGAAAAGGCACAGAAGAAGTAGACTGCTAGCATGGGGGTAACAGGCCCCCCTGAGCAGTGCTGGACTTTGATGCCAATTTGACGTAATGGCTAAATCGTGTAACTACAACTTCCAGGTCTGTCATGGGATGTCATTGGGCCCAAACAGACTTTTCCTCATAGGCTTACATTGGGAAGGAAAGATCTGTAAATCAAAGGATGCATTTTTTGAGAATCACAACCAACCTTTGTTCTCAGGATTTGGTCCGTTCTGTCCAATAACATTTCAGAGTCTAGAAACTTCAAGTTAGCAGAGGGCTAAACCGTAGTTGCCAGCTCGGACGGAAAAAGTTCCTAGTGCTCTTGCTCTGTGGGCCCGATGATGCAAAGGATTGAACTTTTTTCGCTTCATGCACCACTGAGCACCTTTTTATAGAAATGAGCAGGACCCGTCTCCAGTGCTTTATCCAGTTCTCTTTACACATTCATGGGATGTAAACAATGCTGGATTTAATTTGCTTTGCGAGAGTTTTATGTGGAAGAAAATGCATTAAACTCCTGAATGAATGAAAATTAAACTTTTGTCTGTTCACTTAAAAACTGTACGGGGCTCTACTACATTTTTCTGGAGCTTTTAACCACATTTCATGGCCTCCATCAGGGATTTGCGTACTCTGAGCAAATTTCATCCACTGAAGACCGTGAGATGCAGTTCAAGGCTCTGGAAAAAGCTGATTAAACTATGATTGTTTTTTTGTTTTTTTTAAAGATTTTTTTTGGGCATTTTTAAGCCTTTAATTGATAGGACAGACAAGCATGAAAGGGGGAGAGAGAGAGAGAGAGGGAGCGACATGCAGCAAAGGGCCACAGGCTGGAGTCAAACCCGGGCCGCTGTGGCAACAGCCTTGTACATGGGGCACCTGCTCTACCACTAAGCCACCGATGCACCAAACTATGATTGTTTTTCTTTTCTTTTTCTTTTTTTTTCATGATTCTTGTGGGATAGCATTTGTCTTCAAACATTTTCACATAGCTATAAGCCTTCTTGGCGGCACGGTCGTACAGTGATTAGCAATGTTGCCTCACAGCAAGAGGGTTCCTGGTTCGAACTCGGGTTGGGGGAGTCCCCTTGTACAGAGTTTGCATGTTCTCCCCGTGTCAGCATGGGTTTTGTCCGGGTACTCCAGCTTCCTCCCACAGTCCAAAGACAAGACAAGACAGGCAGGTTAGGTCAACTGGTGACTCTAAATTGGCTGTAGGTGTGAATGTGAGTGTGAATGGTTGTTTGTCCATGTTTGCCCATGCCCAATGTTGTTTGTCTACCCCTTTTCCACCAAAGGGTTGTGTCAGCCCTGTGATAGTCCTGGCGTCCTGTCCAGGGTGTACCCTGCCTCTCGCCCAATGTCAGCTGGGATAGGCTCCAGCCCCTCCGCGTCTCCAGGACAAGCGGTTACACAAAAAGGAATGCATGAATGTAAAGGCCTTTTTTCAAGAGATATCTGACAGGTCACATTGTCTTTCTGTAGGCCTACTCACTGTGTCCCAGCCCCTTTTGTGTTTTATAACAAATATAGTCTTGTACCTCACAGTATTCCAATTCAGTTCCCAAGAGGTAGAACGTCTACCACCAGGGTTCTGCACAGGTGTGTTGAATACAATAGCTGCAATGATTAATTGTTTAATCAGTCAGTTATTAGCTGTTAAAGGGTTGGAGCCAAGCAAACTTATCTGATAATTAATTAGTTGGATTGAGTAATTTAAGAGAAGAACAAAAAAGTCAAAATTCTCTGATTCAGGCTTCTTAAATGTGAATATTCATTAGTTTATTTGCTCCTCTGTGAGAGTGAACTAAATATCTTTTGTTTGTGGACAAAACAAGACATTTGAGGACGTCATGTTGGGCTGTGGGAAACAATGATCCACATGTGTCACCATTTTCTGACATTTCACAGACCAATGCAGGAATCCATTAATTTAAAAAAATAAACAACAGATCAATTGACAAAAATAATAGTTAGTTGCAGCCCTCTAGCAACTGCCAATGATCAGAAAGGGACTGGTTACTTCTACCTGTCTGCCATTGCTGAGCCGTGTACGATCGGATTAAGGTTGGATAGACCAAAAGCTCAGAATAAAATGAAACGCTGCATAGATCTAAGAAAGAAACCTTTTCTATCAACATATCACAGTCGGAAAAGAACAGTAAATAATAAAATTAATGATGGCTGATTCTGATTTAGCTGATTCAGTTTCCGGGTCCTGGCATTGTGCATGCTGGCTCGCTGTTACACTGTCAAGGCTTACTGGGACACTTGAATAGAACGGATAAGTGATAACAAATGTGCTTTTTCTGCTGTGACAAGACAAAATATCTGCTGTGAAAAAGGTCTGTTTGGACAAACATACTTCATTACACCCCAGTACATCAGCAAAAAATACTGTGTTTATTTTGCCAACGTGTAGCATCAGATATTATTCTGTTTAGTTAAGTGCCTTTAGAGTACATCTTGCCCTCTTCTTTCCCATCAGTCTGCTCTTTATAAATGTGTGTGGAAACAGAAACAGTCGTGACAGCATGTCTTTGCTTTATATTAGATATCTTTATAAACTGTAATTTAAATGACAAAACAGCTCTGGTCATGTTTCACTTGTTGTAGAAGAAAAACTGCTTGAAATTCAAACACTCATCCTTTAGCTCTGATGTTGTAAAACCTTTGCCATAGCAACCAGGGTTTTCATAGAAAGAGCACATTGAAATTTTCTACAAAAGACGAAGGACAGAATGCGTAGAAAAATTTGTGACTAATGAAATGTATGATCAGATTTTAATGACCGCAGTTAATCACAAACTAGGAAATAGATTGATTAAGATAATGTTTTGTTTACTGTGAAAGGACATTTAAACCTCCTCACCATGACTAAGCTTTCCACCCTGTGCCTGTCCTACCTGGTGATACTCAGAAAGGATGTTGTGCATTTCCTCCACCTCCTCACTGGAGATTTCTTTTACTACCAAAGTACGGTCGTATGATGTCCGCAGCAGACCCACGCGCTGCCCCTCCTCGTCTTTTAGCGGAGGACTGCGGGCCAGAGACACCTGTTGGAGAGAGGGAGGATGGCATCTCTGAGCAGTGGCACCGTGTGACATCAGCAGCACAACACATCAGCCAAGTGAAATGTTTTGTACTGTTTTAAACTGTTCTCATCCAAACACTGAAACACAATTAATGTTGCAAACAGATGGGACATTCTGACATGTAAGGCATATTTGTTTCATCATGCCGGAACACAAAAACACACAATGTTTCAAGACATTTGCTGCATCAGTCTTGTCCATATGCAGAACTTAAGCTTTCATCAGCACATAGTTTAAAGTGCACTTACAGTACGCCTCACCTAGTAATTGTGTGCTAAGCAAATGTGTACTGAGCAGAGCAGATGATGACTCTGTCTGCCACCTGCCACATGCAAATATCACACAAAGAAATGCAAATTTGAAAGGGAGCAGCCTGACACACGCAGAACAGTGTCTGGTTTTTCAGAAAAGAAAAAAAAAAACACTGGAGAACCTAAGGTGCTTTGTGTTTGTTCAAATCTGTCTCTCTGTTTTCCACCTTGTTACCTTGTTCATGTTTCATTTTGGCACAATCAAATGTTAGTAATCATACCTGGTAATCCTGGTCCTCAATTCCAAAGCGCTCTCGCAGGTTTCTGAACACCTGTGGACAGTAGTCTTTGAATTTGAACTGTCCTGGAAGATTCTCTCTGAGAAACAAAGACATTTTAACACATGAAGTAAGAACAATATAGCTTGATATACAGTGTTGCAACATTCCTCACACAGCATCTGATCAGCAACTGTACTTGATTATGAGATTTACAGGGGCTACCAATGCTTCATACTAAAAAAAAAATGATCTCCCTTTATCTTTTTCTTACAGCACATATATTTTAAATCAGCGCACAAAAACAAAACATGGTCAAATCATGTGATCAAAAGGATTTCACATGGTTTAAATGCCTGCTGTTTTGTGCAGATGTTTCTACACTGGTACACTCTTCCAAGCAGAGACAGTAACCAATTACAAATAGTGTTTATTAATTAATACCATAAATGTGTGCATGCTTTAATGCCAGTAAAAAAGAATTCCATATGTATTTAATGGCATGCTGATGTCAAGCATGGATGGATTGCTAAACTGGCCTTTTGGACACAGGCCCAGGGGCTCAAAGTGTCATGGACCACCTGGCCTTTATCTGCACAATGTCACTCAAATTACTGACGGGGAAGAGACCCTTGAAAAGAGACACAAAAATACCACAAAGAGATGTAAAGAGACACAAAATAACTGCAAAACAACCACAAAGACACACAAAAGGATGGGACAAAAAGGCACAAAACCTCAAAAAGGGGGATAATGACAACACAGAAATGCATAACAACAACAACAAAAAGAGGCAAAAGCACCACCCGGTCTGTGTGTCGGAGAGGTGGTGGGTCCATTTGCATATATGTGTCCAGAGGCCGATTGTTTTAAAATCCACCCCTGGTGTCAAGTCTGCTGGTTTATTAATTGTCCAGATTAACAATTTCATCACAGTTAAGTTTAAACGATCTGACTGAGTTCTCTTCAGCACCCTTATTTTTCCACAGTAGGCAATATGAAAAACACTTGAGTAAATCTCTCCAAGGTAACAGCACTTTTTCAACTTGAAAACATATTTTATTGTTCTTCCCACCTCTGTTTATAAGTCTTTACACGACCCAGATTCCTGGATGGATTAAAGGATTATTCAAAGCCACTCAAGTTTTCTAGACTCCATCTGTATAGAAACTGAACTTCAGGGCAGACTGAGTGTACAGCACAGCTTTTATAAACAGTTATTCTGAAGCAGCTTTTGTCTAAGACTTTGTCTGACTGACGCTCATCCTCTGCGAGCCCTGCAACCTTTCTGATGAATTCATCAATATAGCTTTTTTTCTGTTTTGTTTGGACTAAACTTCTGAATGTTGCGGTGTTACACAACCACTGAAACAACTGCCTGTCCAACCCTGGTGTACAGTTTCATTCTTTTACATCACCTTGACAAAGTTGCATTCAGCACACCATCCTCAAGACAAGCTAAATTATTATGTCTTTCATCTTTTTGGGCTAGTTATTGTTAGTGGTAATGTTTGGTACTATTGAAGGTATTGTTAGTGTATAAAAACATCGTTGTTCTCTAAAGAGGGGCTGCAATTCCTGATAAGCACAGGCAGGCAAATAAATCACAGGAGCCTCAAAATCTGTGCAAATCACAGGAAGCAGGATGAAGGTTCCTACAATGAGACGGACAGAGCTGAGTGGAGCACAGTACTTGTTGAAGAGGTGGTTGCTGACTTTGATCTTGGTGCTGGCTTTGAAGTCGTCTGGGAGCAGCATGACAGGTACAGGCACCTGACTCAGGTCATTAATCTGCGCGTGAGATCAGTGGATGAAGAGTTAATAAACATATTGACACACAGTTAAAAATTTATAATGTCAGTGAGCAGCCCACGCACCTACCGAGTGATTGACTCCCCACATCAGCACGCTCAGCACGGGGTCACTGGCTCGGAAAACCTTCACTTTCTGCTGCACGAAGTGTTTCTTCTTGGTTTTCCGTTTGGGCGCCAGAGTGTTGAGAGGGTTGGAGGTGGCACCAGGAGACGACATCGCACTTCTACGCGTATCTCAGTGTGTGAGCCTGAGCAGGGTTTGACTTGTCATCTGTAGCGTCCTGTCTATGTAAAGCAGCGTGCAGTCCGCCTCATACAGTAGGAGTCTGTGCAGCTGCAACGTGCTGTGAACCGGCTTAACACCTCCTGGTTCAGAGACTGAGGTCGATTCAGTGCAACAACAATGCAATCAAACACCGGCGACCTCGGGACAACACCAGCATTGCAGGTTGAAGGGGAGACCAGGGGCAAGTGTAACACTCTTGGGTCATCACTCAAAAACCTCTTGAATAATATGGGTGTATTTTTCATGTAGCTAACTTCTGTTAACAATCATCAAATGTTTTTACGAGCAATGTTAGACTCACAATATTGATTGAAACACCAGAATTCGAATTTTACATCTGCCCCCATGCAGCACACTTAATACCTTCATATAAATACTAACCTAAATACTTGCTAAGTCCCGCCCCCAGACGCAGACTGGCCAATATAATGTAGCATCAGGCCGACTCAGACCAGGGTCAGACAACAACACAGCTGCACTCCATTAGTGTTATGTCATTCGCGAATGAATCATTCAAAAGAACAAATCTGTAACCCTGATCCCTGAGTGATTCAGATAATTTCTTCTCAGCGATACACTTTCATAGGGACCGTTTTCTCCAAGCTAACAGCTAATGTAGCCAGGAGTCAAGCCACATGAACACAATCACACACCTCCCCACTGTTTTAACAGACTTAGTTTCCAGATAAACAAATTTAAAACTTTAGGCTGGCCAGTAATGAGACTCACCAGTGCAGGGCAGACGCAGCAGCAGCTCAGCCGTGTATCAGTTCAGTGAGTTGGACTACGCAATACACAGTCATGGCTCCTCCCGCCAAGCACTGAACGATTCGGTGAACGAATCTTTTTAATGAACTGATTCTAGTGATTCAGTAACATCTAAAGAACTGCTTTGCCAATCATATACACTCCATTGACTCTAATGTAATCGTTTCAGATTTACTTCATTTTCCGTCTGGTTTTGTGGATTTGGAGCTAAATGTTGTGCCTGAGGCACATCATGTATTAATGATACTTGTTACCTGGAGAGGTTGGAGAAAGATATACATTTCTTCTCTCTTCCAAAACCAAAATCAGACCCTGAAAAGTGTAGGGTTAGCAAGCTAGCTACTGAAGATATAGCCTACTCAATGTATACACATGCTGCTTTTGCTTTTTAATGATTAGAACAGTGAATAAAGACCGACCCTGTTGTACAGGAACCAGTGAAGGGAAGCAGGGAAACTTTGATGATTTTTAACCAGCTGTGTGTCATCACATTGTGTGCAGATAAACTGTGTTTGACTTCTCCCGGAGATCAGTTTGACATCCTGGATATATCCTTCAAATACAGACTGTAGACCCCTCTGTCTGCTTCTCTCCAGAATCACTGTTTCATTTTCCCAAAAATATGATAATATTTCTTCAGGGAGTGCAGTTAATTACAGTGTGGGCTCCACGCTTACTACGACAGCTTGTTGGACCATCACAAAGGGAAGTGGCTTAGCAAAAGGTCATTTAATTCCCAAGGAATATAGATAAAACAATTTAACATCAATTGAACAGTCAATTGCAGTTTAATTAAAACAGCGTAATTAATCTCATAATTCTACAAATATAAAACACAACTTTGACAAATATGAGACATCAGTTTTTCTGTTGGCAGGCACAGAGGAAGCGCCACAGAGCACCTGCTGTTTCATGGTGACTGGTGCAATTTTAGGTGTAACAGAGGCCCCCAGTCTCCATGAAACAATGTGCAGCCATAGCCTAATCTTTACTCACGTCATGCATATGATGTGTGACTGACTTTTAGTGGTGCAAAGTAACTAAGTAGCCAACATTACCACAAGTAGCTTCTGTACTTGTTTATTTATATAGCACATTTATAAACAACTGCAGTTGACCCAAGTGCTGCACAAAATAAAAGAATGGCACACAGATATATAGCAATGTAACACAAATATAAAACGGAATGACATCAGGAAGAACAACTACATACTTTTAAAATACTAAAACATTAAAACCAGAACAGCCAAAGGCCATTGAAAACATGTACGTCTTAAGATTTGTCTTCAAAGTGTGGGAGTGGGAACATTTGATTGAGAGTAGAAGGCTATTCTAAAGCTTTGGAGCAGCTACCGCAAAGGCATGATCTCCCTCACCCACCAGCCTCGATCACGGGACAGTTAAAAGACATTGTTCTGAAGATCTAAGAGGTCAGGAGTTGGAGTAAGGGCAGAGAAGTTCAGCAAGGTACTGAAATGGGCTACTCTGCAAAATAAATTTTGTACTTTTGCTTAAATACATTTTTAGTGTAACAGTATTTCTGGACTGTGGTATATTGCTATTTTTTACTTAAGTAAAATATCTGAGCACTTTTATCTTGAGATAACAGAATGCATCAGCATGTTATTTGCCACTTATATCCTAATAATGATAATAATCCTAATTTTCCTAAATACCAGGGGTGTCAAACATATGGCCTGTGGGCCAGAACCAGCTCACCAAAGAGTCCAGTCTGGCCCTCTGGATGAATTGGCACACCTAATATTGATCCACTTGTGAAGGCCAAGAGGTACCAGGTTTCAGGAGCAAGTTAAACAGTGAGTACCCTACTTTCCACCCTGACCAGAATACAGTTCTCTGATAAATATTTAAAGATAATGTTGTGCAAACTATTGTCAATCTGCATCTTCAGTGCAAAAGAATCTGTATCAGACACTATTCCTATAAGGTACTGCCAAAACTCCAGATTTGTGAATGGTTTGTAGGGCAGGGGATAACTGCCAGTTTGGTTCAGTGTGATGAGTGGAGGAATAGAAATGTATCACATGACAGTGAGTAGACTGACTAAATGTGGAGAATTGAGACATATTGTTGGTATTGCACTCATTTTTCAGGCTGTTCATCATCGGTTGTGTATATGGATGAACATTTTCAAAATGTACTTGTACATTTGTAAGCAGATATTAAACTGTAATGGTAGTTTCACTGCAGCCAAAGTCATATTCAATCCAATGTTGACATGTGAGCTTATTGAACATTCTTTCTCTTTCAACTCTTTCTATGCTCTAATCATTATTCTGTACACTTGTTACATGCGATGTATTGCTCTCCCACCCTGCAGCTATCCACAGCAAACAATTATTTTCTTCTTCTTCTTCTTCTTCTTCCCTTTGAAGGACTACATGGATTTACTTCTTGAGCAAAGTCATTTTTATTAAAAAAAAAACAAAAAACAAGGTAACAAAAGATCCCTTAAATGCACAAAATCCACAGAGCATCCACACCAAGTCTCTCTATATTTGTAATCCTGCCCAGTTTTAACCTTTGTTAAAGACACCTCCTCTCATTGTTTTAAAGGCACGTTTTCTTCAGTTCCCAAACAGAAAATCATTATAATACAATAATAATGCCCTTAACTAATTCTGCATTAGAAATGCAGGTGTTCAACATTATACCATAGATGTCTGGTCTAATGGGCAACCACTATATAATTACTTATTCAAATTTCGAGCAATATTAACATAAATATAATACCATATCAAAATAACATAAATAGGAATCCATGTAGAGATTATGTACAGAAATTACAGTAAAACAGTTACAGTGGTTTCAAAGTAAAAAAAAATAATCTGAAAATATATTTTATTTATAAGGCGCCTTTCATGGCACTCAAGCTCGCCGTACAATAGTCAAAAAAAAAAAAAAAATGATACAATGATCCAAATCATACTGTTCCTGAAACTTGGTTGATGGCATGAAATATAAATGGATTCATGATATTAAAGGATAGTGGTATCAACATGGAGATAAACAACTTGAACATGTGGCCCAAACTGTAAGTGCAGTTTCTGCAACATACGCCACAATTGTCTGGATAATTTCAAATGTTAATATAAATCTAATATAGTCTACATCTCATATAAGCAGATGTGAAAGTAACATCTAATCAATACAGTCCTAACATGTTCAGTAGAGGGCGCAAGGAGACAAAGTTACACCTGATTTGGAAACAGCTTTTCATTGGTGGACAGCTGTTTGTGGCTGGTGGAGAATGAAATGTGAGACTGTGCTGAGCTGCTTCAGACTCTGTGTGGTGTTCCTTCATCTTTTATCTTGTATCGGTAATGAAGCGTCAGCCTCCTCTGCTTCAGTCCACGCTTCGTGCATTTCAACAACTCAGGCCGCCCCTCTGTTTAGTGTTAGCGACTGGCATGCCGTTCTGATCCACACACCAGCACTTGCCACGTTGCTTACCTCGAGACGACCAACACTGCACAAACACAGCAAACACATGGGTTGTTTTTGCAGCTTGAAATACAAACACATGTCTATAGTCTGATATGTCTGATATGGTTCAACTGACCTGCTTCTTCCTGAAGAAACCACGCTTGTCACAGTTGGGCATGTAGATGTCATGATGCGACTTAAATAAATGGGCATCAAGACCTTTGATAAGGGTAGTTAGCAGTTTACGACATGGAGCCTGCAGAAAGAGTTTAACAGAGACATGTGAGTGCCTGACTGAGTGTAATCCATGTACTGATACTTTTAATCCTTCAGGTCATCAGATAAAAATGTTTTTTTACCTCATCTGGATCCTCAGTAGGTGTTGGGTCTAGGATCAGACACAGACAAAAACACTTAGCATGGATCACTTATTACTGTGTGAATACCTGTTTAAAGCAAACAATATTCATTTCATTTTATTTCAAGGTCAGCTCCAAATATTGCTTTTTTTTAAGACACTTTTTAAGGCACTTCACATTTAATGACTGGCATTAATGACACTAAAAGCACCAATAAATGTAATAAACCCCATCTTGAAAAGAAAATCAGTGGGTATACTGTGGCCGATGAGCCATATAAAAAATCATGCAACCTACTGTGATATTTAATTACATCTTCTTACACTGATGTTTTTATGTAACAGCCTGCCCGGGACTGAGCAGTCAGGCTGTGGAGAAAGAAACTCATTGTGTGAATAAACAGGTGTGTTTTCTCTTCACTATCAGAAACTTATGATCACATTACAGGAAGACTGACTGAACCTAAATTTACTGATTAAATGTGAAATGTAAGACAGATGCTCTGTCAAAGACTGACAAAACAACCAGCAAATAATGAGTGTTGTTGTGAAAAGCCACATGATGAACAAAGGTGTAGTTTTCAGGGGGATGCAGGGGACAAGTCCCCCTCAGTATTTAGAACATGTGCATTTATTCCCCTCAATAAAAACAGGGGACTTTTGTTTTGAGAGATTAACAACATTTTCATCAAAATTGATGCAGAAAATACACAAATTGGTGCAAAAAAATTAAGTGTTTGGTGCTCAAAGGTTTCTGGCACAGGACCCCAAACCTCCTGTTTCAGTGTTGAAAAGAAACTTACACCCTTCACCATAAACATTACCTAATGACAGTCTGAATTTCCTCGTCCGAGCACAGACTGTGAACCTTACCTTGAGTCTTGACACTTTCAGTCGGGCTGACGCTGCTGGTGTTAGTGCAGACTCCCCTGCCTTCCAGCAGGGCACGGAGAGGCCTCTGCTCCTCCTCTGAAGGTTCACACCGCAGACCGTTGGCACAGCTCAGAGTGTAGACCCCACATGGTTCTCCAACAGCCAGAGTGGTGGTATTTGAATCTACAGTCGGCTGACTCTGTGTGAACATTGCATTACAGGTGGGACATCCTCTGGACGGTGTGGTCAGCGGCACTGGACTCGACACAGCTGGCTGCAGGATGAGCAGCAGCAGGATGTTTAAATACAGAAGCATCTCACACTGAAAGCTGTCCACTAATAAATGACAAAACAGTCTCCTGCAACTGACTTGTTGACTGAGGACTTCTGATCCCTCTGCTTAACTATCTTAGTTTAGTTCCTCTGACTGCAGTTTGCCCTTGTGTCGAAAGGTGGATAGGAATTCCCTCAAGCCAAGATGATGATAATGAGGCTGTCAGAAACCACTGGCAGTGGCTTTTAAAGAGCCGAAACCAGTGGAGAAAGGTATGGGAGGGTACGTGATGGAGAATGTTACTTTTCCCTCTCATTTCCACACAGCTGAGCACACCCCGTTTCCCCTTGTCTCTGACACACACACACACACACACTAACACTCACGCATAGTCATACCATTTGTTGTCTGTCATCTTGCAGGAAAGTAATGTGTTTCTACACCGGTATAAATCACAAGTGATTGCTGTGTATGCTACTCCATTGCTCTGCCTTTTCCCCACTGAGGGGTCATTTATTTACAGAGGTGATGCTTTCATGGAACCCACCAATCACAGCTCAGCAGATGAGAAATTCACTCTTTAAGTTTTAATAATCACTGTTTTTCATCATCAAAAAGAAACATGAAATTGAATTTGGTCATCTGACTGTACAGAATTTATTATTACCAGAAGTAGTTGAAAACTAAAATAACACACTTGAGGAAAAGCACAGAATGAAACAGTAAAGCCATCAGCATTTATTCAAGTTCTACATTTACTGTCATTCTAGGCTAGTTGTTATTTACTTGAGTACTTTGGATTGGTGCTACTTTTACATTTCACAAGCAAATATTGTACATTTTACTCCACAATATTTCTCTGACAGTTGCAAATACTACTTGTGTTGCAGATTTTACAAACAAACCTACGAAACCTCAACTCTCAAGCCTCAACCATGTACATTAAAATGTTATTTAGACAGTAAATAGCTCCATGATCTGTTGTTATTGCTCTGGGCAGTTTATGGTGATTATTGTGACCCTGAGACATAGAGGGCCCCTAACTCTGGGGATGATTTAAAATGCACATAAATTCATTAAAAAAAAAACTTGAAAAACAGTATAAATGAACTTATTGCTCTTTCAAAAGTCTCAAAACAATACAAGTAGGCTATAAATCCAATTATGACAAAATGTGTGTAATTACTTCCAACCTTTTCATCCTTGTTTTTGACATTGTTATGACTTCTTTAAATAGCAACCACTAAACAAACACTTTGCTCACAGAGCGTGTTTACAAAGTGTTTAACTGCAGGGCTAAAGATTCTGAGGAAATGGCCGACGCAGAGCAGCTGAAGGAGTGCCACTCAAGGTTGGATGACTAAGACATTAATAGCCACGAGCAAAAAAAGTCCCACCCTGCAAATTCCACTGTCTGTGAGTCACAAACACATTCAATTAGAAGGCACGATCTCAAAACATGTTTTCTAACTTAATGCATTAATACCAAGATCACTTAATCTCAGATACAAATATAATGTAAATGAAGGCCAATATAGAGGGATAGAAAGATTATAAACATACCCTATTAAAGCAGGTTTTAAAAAGTTTAAGATATACATATTGTTTTTTCTTTATTTTTGTTATTGTGATAAGGTATCTGCCAATTCTGTTTTGAGTGCAGGGCAGTGAAGAGTCATACTAGTACTGAGGCTACTCTTTTGGCTGGTTGTTACTCTTGGTGTGATCATGTGATGAGTGATGGTGATGGTGTTGTTGATGATGATGATGATGATGATGACGATGTTGTTGATGTTGATATTGATGGTTGCTGACCACTGTTGTTTCAGATCACTGTATTTGGTTCCCCACATAGGCCTACTTGTTGAGTATTTATATTCTGATGTGTTCTCTCATGTTTTGCCCTCTAGTGACGTTAAGTTGAAGTTGATTTCTGACTGTTTGAAAAAACAGTCCAATATGTATTATGTATTTTATGTGACAGTCTCTTAACTTGATTTCCAAAAAATGTACCAGCTAATACAATGATGTACACCAATAATACAACACAAGACACAACCCTGTGATAGGCCTATAAGAAAAATTAAATAGAAATGAAAGGGCCACATTGCATTGCTGTCAGGAGGATTTTTGGTTAAGTACCAAAAAATCCCTGTCTTTCTTTGTGCGTCTTACAGATTTTTACTGCAAGGAAAACATGTTCAAAGCAAACTTCAATAGAATATCCACCTTACTGTGACTAAAAAGCACAACTTCAGCTACTGTGTGATTCTTGCCTAAAAGTAAAACCATACTTCATTAAATATGACTGTAAATACTTAGAATATAACCAAGTTATGAGAAGGCTTCTCCCACATTGTTCAACTTTCAGTGATTATTTTGTAAAACATTTTTACTTCCCATCTCAGACAAAACACTGAGGTGACAATGCTTCTTTTGCTGTAAGGTCTTAGTTCCAGGTTTTATCTGTTCTCCTCATGTAAAACACGTGATAACACCAACTGTAAAACCACAGACAGGCAATTTATTAAAAAGACTACATATACACACTGGCAGTGCACAGGTTAAGGACTGAATGTATCCTGTGATGTGATTGGTTGAGGGGGCGGGACTTCCGGCAGCGCAGGTTGGACATAAAGTGACAGACATCACCTCCTTAAAATTGGAAGAAAAACCGAAGGACGACGCAATACAAGTTTTAAAACAGTAAGGAACCAACATGAGACAGATGGGCTTTGAGTCGTTTGTGTGTAACCTGAGACACTGTGATGTTTACAGCTCATTATTAGCCATAATGTTGTAACGCTGAAAGCAGCTAGCCGGCCAACCGAGTCCTGTCTGTAGTTTTCAGAAATACGACGCTGCGTTTAGGGTAGGCTCGTAAAACGGCCAATCGGAGAAGTTTACACGCAACACATAATAATATGAAGCGATAGCTCGCATAATTGTTTACTTTATTAAAGTCAGATCCTCAGCTATTTTATTCAGTCGTATTTGGGCTGTTAACTTGGTTTTATCATCACTTTGGAAAAAATAGTCCATCACTTCCAGGAACAGAGTCATTTCAGGCAACGAAACTATTTTACCCCTACGTCAGTTGGTGTAATTCTATGCTGGGGTTCCGTATTGTCGTGTAATGACTCACTACTGAGCCAGCAATTAAAATAACCCACTTACTAAAATACTTTTGTTTTAAAATACAGCGTAATGAATTTAAAACGACCGTCAAAACCTAACCGGGAAAAGATGCGTTCACTTGATTCATCCTGGCTTTGATTTCACAATCTGGCAGAGGAAAACAACAGTTTGAATGTGTTGAGCTGATCGATTAATTGATTACTTGATGAAGAGGGAAAAAAAGCAAACATTTATATATTTAATAACTTCATTTTCTTCAGGTTTTAATTGTGATAGGCATTTTCCTTGTGTTTTCACATGGATTTACTAAGAAAATATTAGGCAGATTGATGGATAATGAGTATTATCATTACTTATCATTACAGCCCTACACCAAGGAGACAGTTAAGGTGTTGGCATTTAGGTTTGCAGTATTTCAGGTAGAGAAAGACCAGAAGCACATCACTGAGTCACAGTGTCTCATATACACAGGCATTAACAGAAGAGCCAGTCCATACTTGAGTCATCTGGAGTTCACATGGAGTGTAAGACACCCAGTGTAGACACCTGACCATCACAGGGCTAACATTAATAAGGGACTCACGTTCATGCCTGTTGGCAGTGTACAATCACTGTCCAGGCCTTTGCATGTCTCTGGAATGTGGGATTAAACGTAAATGGAAAAACACAAACTCCTCGCAGGGAGGGTTTGGCCTGAGGATCAAAGCCAGGTCCTTCTCGTTGTCAGGCAACAGTGGTAATCATGTTGTGGTCAAAGACGCTTGTGGTTTAGAGGAGGACCTGCGCTGTTCTTTTGAAAGTGTCCCTTTTCCCCAACAGCTTTTATGGCTATAATGATTGCCTTAACAGCGCTGGAACATTTGTTTGAATATTTCAGTCAAAACTATATTCACACAAATTTCATACATAAATTGATTTTAGATAAAGATCGAATCTTCCTTTGCCTGTTCTTTATGATAACGTGCTAAAGCAGTAATGGATCTTTTTGATTTGTTTCCCTGTGTTCCAGATTGTAATGATTTTCAGACATGGACGACATAAACCTTCATTATCGCTTTCTGAACTGGAGGAGGCGAATTCGAGAAATTCGTGAAGTGCGAGCTGTGCGATACCGGGAGCGGCTGAAAAGGATGCTGAGAGATGGTGACATACTCAGGTAACAGTGATGAGCAAAGCCACCATGAGACTGGAGACACAGACATGTCATGTGGTTTAGTCCTTCATTTTAAGCTAGAGCTCTTCCTCTGCTTGCTGAATCAGCACCCCACTTTGCTTGCATTTGGTGAAAATGATCGTTATAGCAGTATTTATTTATTTTTTTCTTTTGCATCTCTTTGTAGGTATCATGGGAATTCAGATGAAGTTGGCTGTTTTGTGGCGGCACGGCCATTGTCGAGAAGAAACCGCTATTTTGAAGTAAGAGTTGAACATTTCCTTTTAACACATGACTATTAGTGTGACCCAGGAGTGAAAAATTATCATTTTATCAGGGGACTGTAACAGCCACACTCAACTGAGTAAAATGTATTTATTTAGAACATTTATCACAAGAGGTGTTGCTTCAAATAAAGAGCAAAAACAGAAGACCAAAGATAATACATGACAAAAACACACATGTTAAGAATATGTTCAGTAACAAGGTATTACATACATGAAACATGTAAGATAAGATGGTATTACAATGAAACACAAATAAGATAAATCATTATTTAAATAGTAATAATAGCAATAATGATTATTAAAAAAGGCTATAGTGATTTGATTCTACATGTAAATCTTTATATTGATAACACTGATTCTTGACTTTGTGTCCTCCTTACTAATCTCAGTATGATGATGAGCTCAGTTTATTTTTTGTAGTATTGATGAACACTTATTGTCACACAATGCAGTACACAACAGAAATGAAGGAGCTCCTCAGAGCAGAGAATAACTAAAAAAAAAAAATGACCACAAGACATTGGCTTCTAGTACCAGAGGTGTACGCTCAGATACATTTCAGACAACAACAAACAAAGTATTAGTATTTGGTAAAAGCAACCTGCTGTATGTTTCAAACGGTCAGCAGTGATCCACATCTTGTTTCATTTCCTGTGAGTAGAAAGTGATAAAGTACATGTATTTTTTGTACACCAGTGGTCAAAACACTGTAAAACAGTAGACATTTATAGTGTTAACTTTATAGCATTAGTATTTATTATGGATTTAGGACACAGCTCTTGATCTGTGTTGGTGAGAGGAGCATTGGCAGGCTGTTGTGTCTGACTGCTTGCCTTCATCTTGCTGAGCCATACTGTAAAAGAAATCATGACACTTCCTGGGTACAGCACTTTTACGAGAAACAAAGCTCTTTCAGCTTGGAAATACATTTGTTGAATCTCTTGGCAGCTCTCTCTACATTGTGCGTTGGGACAGGGAGTGCAGTGATTACTGAGGCTAATGCTGATTCTTCAAGTCATAGATGCCAAAATCATTTACACAAAGACAGAAGCAGTGTCAGCAATTAAGTCTCGGCCCCCGCACAGAAAATAGCAACCGTCATTTTTCAGATTCAAACAGATTCACCTCTGCATGCTCTGCATCTCGTCTTGGATGACTTTGATGTTGACACACTCCTCAAACAACTTACCAAGTTCAGCTAGGGTTAAGAAAATATGTCCTTGTCTCTTTTGATGGTGTTGTTAATCCTTTGTGATTAAGAAGAGATGATGTATTTTTGGATTAGAGGAGAAACCAGGTAGGAAGAGCTTTAGTGTTCCAGTAACTCAATAAATGTCGTCACTAGGGTCGCACACTTTTCCTGCAAAAAACTTATGCTATTACCATTTATTCACTTCATACAGAAGGTGTTGTAAGCCTTAGCTGTAAAAGGAGAAAATATGCTCTGGCCCGTGGGCAGTGTTTTGTTTGGGCTCGACCATTTCCAACATGGCAGTCAGGTCACAAACGTTCTCATTTTACAGCTAGACAGTCACTAAAATATGTTTCTGAAAACACTGAGGTGAGAAATAGGCAATGCAGTAACAGAATCCTGATTCATATTTGATCAGTGCTGCTTAGTTTGACAGTTTGGTCCCAGTTTAGGAGCATTTTGCTGGCAGCAACATGGATTCTGCTAAGCACTTCCGTCACTCTTTATTTGATGCTGTGGCTGTGAGTTGTGTAAGAAGTGGCTCGGAAGACACTTTGAAATCCAATTTTAACATCTAGAGCGTCAATACTGAAACACATCTCTACAAATCTGATTGAAATCACATTTAAAACCATCTCCAAATGTGTATGTAGATCCGATTAGTAAAAATCACATTTAATTTGCTTATTTGCTGTCGAGACTTTCTGAAATCAGTCTGGATACAATCTGGTTATGCCAAAAAAATGAATGTGGGCTTGCTGTCCGAACAAGGCGTTGGTTGCACGTCAGATTCTTTATTTGTGAAAAGCCACAGCTAGCAGCCAGGAAATAGGTTTGATGCTGTACTACACTGTAACCCTGCATCTACTGCTGCTGCATACACATACAGTAAAGTTTCAGTGGTGCTTTTGACTTGAATGGTGTTCTGTATCCAGGGGACTTTCTCATCTCAGCTCTGACACACTGCTTTCACAAAGCCAAATAAGTCTCAGCTCACTACAGATCATGTGCTGGTTTGTTTATTTCATGCTTCTTGGTAGTCTAGACACTGAAGTGCACAAACATCCCAGGACAATGACTGTTCCTCAGAATAAACCGTGTTGAAACTTGCCTCACACACACACACACACACACACACACACACACACACACACATCCTGCCCCAGTCTGACGTGGAGTGAAACAGTAACTAACCTTCTCAACCTTCATACTCGCATGAGCTTCATCCCTGTGACTCACTTTGTGGAAGTCACGTAGGAGGAGGGAGGAAGCCATTTGCGCAAATGGGAGTATGAGCTAATAACTGATAGTAAGTGGATGCTGGTTGTAGATCTCATGGTAGATTTTAGGGTTCATCTGCATGTTTTACAGTAACACAGAAAAGAGCGACATATTGCCTCTCACTCTCTGGAGGCCAGTGAGGTCATGGGAAAGAACTTAAAAGTTTCCTCTGCTCCTTGCCCTGGATTTGCCAGCAGTGCTCCGATTGCAGTGCGTCCATGTAGGGCTCCCTGGGGATGATGTCATAATGTCAGTATTCAGTTATGATAACAATGGTTAAGGCCAGCTCTTTACTTTAGGGGTTTTTGCTTTGAACCAACATGCACTTTTGTACAAAGAAATGCTATATAGTTTCAGGTTGGTTTGGAAATTTGATGAAGTGAAAAGAGAAGCAGTGCCAGCCCAAAAGCAAAATGTAGTGGCATGTAGAAAGCCTGCGGGAGCAGGAATAGAAAGCTTTTCTGGCAAATAAACCAGCGGCACTCAAGTGGGTATTTTGAAACTTTTATGTCACCTTGTGTGATTTTCCTACCATAAAATCTGTTAACGTAGGAAGCCTGACTATCCACCACTTTGACCGAAATGTTGAATCGATTGCCATGAAATTTTAAACAGACATTCATGGTCTGCAGAGAATTAATCCCTCTGACTTAAGTGATCCTCTGACAGCAGTAGCAGCACTACTAAAACTGTTTGTGATAAAATGGCTGCATACTCAATATGTGTACTATCGCTCAACACACTTTGTTGCCAATAAACAGCAGTATGTATCTTATCGGACGCACTAAGCTTAAATTACCACGTCTCTTCCTGAGAGGTTCCTGACTGGTTGGAGACGCTTAACCATGGTAACCCGTGCCAACCTCAGATCTACTGGTTATTAAAAATAAATTTAAAACTATATTACAAGTAGCAAAGTGAAATCTTACACATCCTACATGCTTAAATGGAAGTGGAATTGATGTTAGAGGGCTGTTTTGGTCTCCGTCCGTTATGAACGTTGTCTTGTACTGCATTTGGGATATTTATGCTGTCGTAGTGTCCAGTGTTTGCATACTGTCATTCTCACCAGAAATAGTACGCAGTTCATTTACTATTGGTTTCATACTAACGATTCAGACTTCACCCAATCTTGATAATTGGGAGAAACCCTTACATTTTGGGGTTTTGATTTTTACACCTCAGTTAGGCTGGAAATATGTATTTTGAAAGATCAAAGTCTTAACTGTTAAACCCTGTAAGGGCCAACCTCCTAGTGATTACATTTTTGTCTTGAATAGCACAAGATTTGACAGAGTTGATGTCTTATGGAGTTGACGGGAAGTTATGTATTTATTAATTTCACAGCAGTTGTAGTGACTAGCCATTTTGTTTTTCAAAATTGGTAAGAGTTCTCATAATACTAATCAAAATACTAATTTTTAAACCATAATTGTTATTTAGCCTTGATTTAGAGGAGCTACAGAGTTGGCCTCTTATGGTTGAAACACACTGATTGCAATATTATTTAATGAATTTATCAAAAGGTTGAAAGCTTACCAGTACTTAAGCAGCATTGCTGCCATTTTGGAAACCAGGAAGTGAGACAGGAGTCCCTGTGATATAGCTAACCCCTTTTATGCCTGATTTAATGTTGTTATTTTTAGAAATTGACAAAAATCAGGGACACATCCGTAAAAGGGCAACCTTTTTACAGATAATATACTTGAAAAACAAAAATGATTATCACAGTACATTTTTACACTGATGTTATCAGTACCTACTGTGTGTTTTAGATTTTGAGGACTCTTAACACATTTTTAAATGGTTTGAAGTTGTGAATTTTTGTCTGGGACAAAGGTGTTTTCTGGCACAGGGCAGGTTTAGAAGGTAAAAAAAATGAGTGTAGATCAAAATATTTTATAAATCATATTTATAAATCCTTTAAAAAATAATGTTTCACCTCAGCAACAAATTTAGTATGTCGACAAGTTAATATTTGAAGTTTTTTTTTATTTTTTTTTTTTTTGGTAGAGTTGTACTGATTCTTAGGTGTGGATGACTCAGAAAAAAAATCTCGTACTGTTTTAGCCTTCTTCATAGCATGTCAGTATGGAATCGCCAATGTCTGCTAAACTAATGACATTCCCACCAGCCTCTGCCTTACTTTGGGTTTAGTGCTAATTTCAAAATATTAGCATGTTAACATGCTAATCTAAGATGGTGAACAAACTTTATACTTATCTTAGCAAATCATCAGCATGGTAACGTTGTCATTGTTAGCATGTTGGTAAGCCAGCCTTAGCATTTAGCTCAAAACTTTGTACAGCATCACAGAGTACTCTTTTTCATTGAAGTATAAAGTAGTGTCAGCTGTATAAACAGAATTACGTTGCTTGCTTAAGCCTGTTTAACTGTGTACATAACATACTAGTACTGTGCGTGCTCTGTGATATATTTCAGTGGCACCCACTCATCATCCATGTATGACAACATCAACCAAAACAAAAGAAAATCTGATTAAAAAAAAGACATCTGTGTCCTCCACCCTCACCTCACCTCACCTCCCCTCCCCCTTCATCTCCTCCTCTCTTCCTCTGCCTCAACAAATTTGTTCTGCGTATGCACAATACAAAAGCCTCCCACACATGATGTGTAATGAGTTGTTCATGACACGTTGCGCTGGATGTTGAAGCAGCTTCTTTTGAATTCAAGGTTGACATCCTGAAATGTATCTGAGCAAGAATTAAATTACCTCTCACATCATTTAGAAGAAAGTAGGTGTTAACGCTCACATCTCTGAATGTCAGCTTGTTTGCAGAATGTAATGACACCCTCTTCATTAAAACAAGGTAGATTTGGTGAGATTACTGTTTTAAGGTCCAGTGTGTGGGATGTGGTGGGCTACACATCACCTGAAAGTAAGAAAAATTGTGTTTTTGTTACCTTAGAATGAGCTGTTTATATGTACAGAGTGGGTCCTCTTCCACGAAGTTGGTTATGCTTCTCTATAGTAGCTCAGAACGGACAAACCAAACACTGGCTCTAGATAGGGCCATTTATTTATGGTATTGCGTCAGCCACTAAGAGCAACTATTATTTAGTTGGTTGCAATTTGCAACCTCACCACTAGATGCTGCTTAATTCTGTACACTAGACGCTTAACACATCCCAAAGATGATCCATTTTTTGTATTTGGAGTTGCCAAAAAAGAATAAAAGAATCAAAGGCAAGCAAATTTTTATCTGCAGTACTACTTCCTGTCTTGTTTCTCTGCGATGATTCAATCTGTGGTGTTCGCAGGTGACCATCATCGATACAGGAGTGAGAGGAATGATTGCTGTTGGTTTGGTACCTCAGCTCTACAAGCTGGACCATCAGCCGGGCTGGCTCCCGAACTCTGTGGCTTTTCATGCCGATGATGGCAAGTATGTGACAATGATGACTGCTTTTACATATACTGCACACTGAACATGTTCTCAATGATATGATACGTGCAGATGTGGCATAAATAAGTACTTCTGACACAGTATAATGTTATACATACACAAGCCAAAAGAACACTTAACCAGCTACCCACATTCAAAGTGTTTTGCTTGCTGTAATAATTCCTGCTGTCCACACTGGCCATTAAGAGCTGTATTTATTTTTTTATAAGCTAGAGAGAGATAACACAAATGAGTTGTTGATTATGTACCAATTTCCCTTTATTTTCTGTTACTGGAAGCATTTTCTGAGTGAGTGTTTTTTTTGTGAACCTCTGCAAAATCTAAAAATGATGAGCCTTAATGATTAGCCATTCAACCTCCCCTACTTGTCTTTCCCCAGGCTGTATAATGGCAACACTGTGGGACAGCAGTTTGGTCCAAAATGCTGCAGAGGTGACAGAATCGGCTGTGGAGTATCTCTGGACGCTGAGGAGGGACAGCTAACTGTGTTTTTTACCAAGAATGGCAAAGACGTAAGTGCTCCGTCACCTTCATGCTACGTCGCCTTCAACAAACTTTATTCAACCATTACAATTTAATACATGAATGTATTCAGAGTTCCCAGCTGCCTTTCTTTCAACAGTACTGCATGTGAATGTGTGCCTAGGTCGGCAGTGTGGAAATCCCAGCGTCTCCTGATGCTCTCTACCCCGCTGTGGGAATGCACTCTTTGGGGGAAGAAGTGCTGCTGGACCTGAACGCTGAATGGGGGATGGAGGAGGATGATGGACAGATGATTGTGGATAGTCATGAAGAGGACTGGAGCCGTCTCCATGACATCAAGGTGACCGGCACGGTAAGTCCTGTTGCTGGGAGAAAGACGAATGAAAAAATCAATCTAAAAAATGGACATCGTTTTTACCAATTCTACTGCTCTGCCAGCTAGAAAGATTAAATATAACACTTAAAAGTGACAGGTTGTCTGCTTTATAAAGGTTCATGCTGTGTAATGAATGGCTGGTATCAATTGGAGGATGAAGGACAATCTGCGTACACCAGATTATTGGTCTGGAATACATTAAAAAGATTTAATTAAGATTGGCTGCTAACTGCTGTTTGAAACTTGACTCCTTAACCCCATATCAAAGGCCATACATCACTTGTTTGTCGCTCCATCACTCCTGTGCCTCAGTTTTTTACCCATTAGTTCTTAAAAGTTGTGATCATGCTGTTTAACATATATGTATATCATTTAAAGTTCCCTTCCAAGCACATTTTACTCTGCTATGATTCATACTTTGTTTAATGTGGTTTTCCAACATACAAGGTAAAAAATAAAACTCTAAAAAAGGAACTGGAAGCACATTTACTTTTTCTCCCTCATTGAGAAATTCTGGATCCGGCCTCCTCCTTGCCCACCAGAGCTACGAGAGCTTAGTTGACTGGTGAAAGAGAAGTGTGCGTTAAGATGGCTAGCATTAGCGAAGAGGTTCAGCCATACATGTTGGAGCCTCAGTCAGACCCAGACTCAGATGGGGATTCTGCTGTGCGCCAAAATGGCTGACTAGCAGATGTATCAAAGTGATAAGTGTAGTTAGCAGCTTTAATATATGTTGTTTGTTAGCGTGTTAGCCTGTGGGCTAACTGGCAGTGGCTGGTTGTGAAATGATATTAAAGTGTGTTCACATTGTCATTACATAATTATATACCAGAGATCTAATCAAGTTTTGCAGAAAGATACGTATATTCCACTTGGATTAGGTATTTATATTACATGTAATAAGTCAGCTCTGCACTGAAGGTTTCACGTTTCTTTCTGCATATTAGAGAGCAAGTGGCTTTCATATTAGTGATGTAGCTGAATTAACTTGCCTAGTGTACGTTTGAATCTCAGATTTCAGGGAAGTGGACAGACATTTCCCCTTTCAGTAGAAAAATATAAAAACACCTCCCTAGTGACAAACTTAACGCAGATACAGATCAATATGGTCAAGGTCAGACATTTTAGTGGACATAAACGAGGAGGACTTTAAGTATCCCAAACTCAACAGATTTTGCACATAAAAGTTTACAGCTATTGGGGAGTAAAAAGTTGTATAAGGCATTTTGAGGCTCTATAGGGAGCTGCATGAAGTCTGATAAATTACCTCAAGTGTTGGTTGGGGGTGAAAATTACTAATTTTAAAAATCTGGAGGTGTAGAGTTAGAAAGAATTGAGCTTGCCAGATCTCTATAGCCTGCTCCTCATCTCTGCTGGAGACTACATTAGCTGCTGTTAGTATAACGCACCAGAATCTCCAGCCTAGCTGTCAGCAGCTAGAGTTGCATTGTAATGTAGGTGACAAGTTTTGACAGTGAAGAAGAATGAATGGGGTAAAAATGACTATTGTGATTCTGCTGCATTGATTTTGATTTTTTTAGTTTGTCCATTTTGAGTCCAACAGTGTCAAATCTGTGGTGGACTCTGTTATCAAATAGTTTGTGAGGAGTGATTTCCCTAACCCCAGCAGTGTATACGCTGCCTACAAACATAGTATCAGTGACCTTAAATGGAAGTGGTGGATCTGTGTCAACTCCAAAATCAGAACAATCCATATTGGAGATCAATGAGGCAAAGTGCAAATGTTTAGATTGCTTACCCTAACCCAAAACTCAGATAGTCAATACAGAAATTCAGACGTAAATATTAGCTTTTACTGAAAACCTGGTAAGAAGAGACCAACATTTTCTCTAAAGCACTCCTTGACCTCCTCTCTCCCTTTGTTTGGGACTCCACCCCTCCCTGTGACGGCAGGGCTGCAGTGTTTGTGTCTGACTCAGGCGTTGATAAGCACAAAATGTGAACAGAAAGATGGGAGGGGATTGCAGCAAAACAGCCTTTAGGCAGTACCTTCATGCCACCCGCACATTTAATTATCCTTTATTTCTACAAATTTGGCCCTGTTCTGTATGAATGCAGGGCCCACAAACCGCTGTCTGAACTCCCTGCAGCTCATCAATTACACACGTGCACGTCTTAACACTACATGAAAGCTGTCAGGGCCCAAAAAAAACAAAACATGTTATTAACAAAGCAAGAGTGGTGTTTTTCTATGGGATTTCAAGGTTCACGAGGGAGAACGTAGTGTGCTTTGACGTTTTTATTGTGATATTTAAGTTTTTTGGATTACAGGTTTGAGCTTTCCAATTATTAGGCATCCTTTTTTCTAGGCTTCTTCATCTACTTGCATAAACACCAGAGCGGCTGTTTACTTCTTGAGGTTGTGCTTACATGCTGCCAGAAAGGGAAGAGAAGGAGGTGTATAAGAAAACACAACTTCTCTGAAAATGAATCAGTGCTGAAGTGACAGTGGGGGTCGGGTTTTATGAGATCAAACATTTGATACACTGTTGGTTTATTTTTGAAATCTCATGCAACCTTTTGTTTGTTATTGATAGAAAATTGAGTTTTGTTGCTGGCAACAATGTTAGTAATGAGATGTTGGGCTGAGACACTCATGTACACATCATGTGTAATAGTCTTTTATCTGATTGGACCGTTTCATAGTCATCCTCTGTGTTCTTCAACTGCTCTGATGACATTTGGGGAGGTCAGTCTGGCAATGGATTCAGCGTTGGTGGTGTTGATGTCCTCTGCTGCGTGTAGTAAACATTTATGTTATCTCTGTTGCTGCAGCTTTGCTTTTAGTGCCAGTTCGATGCAGAGATGACGAATCCGAATCCTGCCCCATTTTCCCAGGAAAGAAAGAACTGCATGACGATGCGACCTAGTTTCTCACCTCATCATCTAACATCTCTAATAGGATAATGTGTGAATAAATCATGCTCTCGTCTCATCTTATTCAACTCCTGTCTCTACCAACCTGAGAGGGAAGCAGGAGCCATGCCATTGCAAAATCAGATGTGCTATCACTAGCAGTGAAATGTAGCGTATGGTGCAGGCTGAACCCAGGAGTTTTTGAGTTATTATAATAATTTGAATAAACTCCTCCTCCGGGTTTGTTGACATGCCTAAACGTACAGTAGGTTTAACGACCCGACCGCCTAAAGCTTCGTTGTTTTTCCATTTACTTATGCAAATATTACTTAAAAAAAACTTAAATGACTGTGAAGTTTAGATGTGAAAGCATGCTTATAAATTTGCATGGAGTAGAAAATACAGAAAGTAATTCTTGTCACAAGGTTTTAGCTGTTTCAAAAAAAACAAAAGTATTGCATAATACATTATGGAGGCTAGTGGAACAGATGCTACCTTGGAACTAGGGCAGTACTTTGACTCTTTATATGGGGCAGATGTGCTGCTGACAGGAACCGTTCACCCCTTAGTTAAAAATATATGTCCTCTTACCTGTAGTGCTTTTATCAATCTACACTGTTATGATGTGAGTTGCTGAGTGTTGGAGACATCGCCTGTAGAGATGTCTGCCTTCTCTTTAATGGAACTAGATGGCACTCAGCTTGTGGTGCTCAAAGTTCCAAAAAATATAATTTAAAAACTCAACAGCAATGTCTCTTTCCAGAAATCATGACCCGGTTACTCGATATAATCCATAGACCTTGTTGTGAGCAGTTTCATGTAGGAACTATTTTCTTTCTACTGAACTGCACCTGACAGCTGTATCATAGTGCAGAAGGAAGCGTGCATCTACTCATGGATGAGAGGCTCATTACAGTGTGAGATGTAAATATTAATGGCGTCCTCCTCGGCAGAGCTGGAACCAAGCGGCAACCTCCAAGGCTGAAAAATGAAGCCAATGCAGAAGTACCAAAAATTTTAGCTCATTGAATGACTATTTGAGGCTGGCTCTAAAACCGAGTAAATCCCCATAGACACCCATATTAAAATGCCCAGCTTAACATAAGAGTTAAACATGTTTACAGCCTGGTACGAAAAATGGTTTTGGTCTTTATAGCCAATTTCAACATTGATGGCAACTGTACTGTAGTGAATTTTTTTAATAACTCACTTACATTTTAATAAGGCTTAAAGTTACACATATTTAAGGGCTGGCCACTTGAGTGACAGGCTGTCTGTGAAGCGTCACTACACCATAAAATCAAGATGGCCACGGCCGAAATGCCAGACTTGAGACTTCAGAACGCCAGTCCACAAACCAATGGGTGACATCACACTAGCTATGTCCACTGTTATATACACAGTCTATTGCTGTAACGTTAGTTAGCTCAGCGGTGCTAGGTGAGCTAGCAGTAAATGCATGCTTCCCTCTGCACAGTGTTATGTTTGGCAGGTGTAGTTCAGTTGAAAGAAAATGTTAGTTATATAAACCCTATCTAAAATACAACTGGTCATATCAGACTAGATGGGCTGTAAAACCAAAACAACTCAGTATAGAGAATTGAGCAAGGGTGTGTTTTATTGCTTATCAATTCAACTTTTATTTTCTGAGACTAAAAACACTGACATCTCGTCTTATAAAGTTAATGTGGCTAACATGGAGTGTATGCAGTCACAATAGCTTCAGGGAGAAAGCATCTAATTACACATTCAGCAGCACCTGAAGTGTTCGCATTTATGTGGAGTCGTGTTTTTGGCCACTACATACATCTGAATTCAATATTCACGCTCCTTTTAGCTTTCTTGGTCTAGATCAACTTATGAGAGAAATATCTGTCTCTACCTGCTAGATGCTCCACTGTGTTCACCAACTAACTTGTTGCTAACTTTCTCTTTCTGCTGTTTCTGATGCTGGGCAGGTAACGTAATGTCTCTGTTATTTCCACAGCTGCTGGAGTATGTGGGCAAAGGGAAGAGCATCGTGGACGTGGGCTTGGCTCAAGCCCGTCGGCCTCTCAACACACGCTTCCATTACTATGAACTGGAGATCACAGATGCTGGAGAAAAGTGCTACATCGCCCTGGGTCTGGCACGCAGGGTAAGAGGCTCCGTGTTTTTGTCATCACAATAATGATCACGTTATTATCGACACACCGTGTTACTTAGTGTACACACTCTGCGGTTATCTGACGGTAAAGAAAACTTCTCTTTCTCCACCCTCACTCACCCCTCGTCATCGCTCTCCCTCACATGCACCACTGCTCTCACTGTTTCCAGTCTGAGTGATGGATGACCGAAAGAGGAAAAGCTAACAACAGAATAAATATTGTCTCATTTTACCCCCACATCTGGTGTTCCATAGAAAGCAGGTTGTTCCATTTACATGCTAATCTACCATGTCAACTACAACACTGGAATTAAGTATGTGAAAGGTTAGTTGTGAGATAAGATGAGAGCATCTGATTGTTTTGTCTTGGATTCTTTCAGCTCCTGCTTAATTTTACTTCCTCTTTCCACACAGTCAGTCAGCGAACACAAGATGGGACAAATAGAAAAGAATTAAAAGCATGCAGGAGTTCCTCAGGCTAAGCAATTTATGGTTGATACTCTAATTAATTAGGCAGTATTAAATCACAAACGATGACAGCGAGCGATGATCCATATTTTGGAAATAAGTTGGGTTTGAGAGAGGACTTGTTGAGTGTTTACACATCAGAGATGCAATTAGCTGCCTTTGGCCTCACGTGAAACTCTCATGAACTCATTCACATCCTTATGAACGTAAATAAAACAGCGTGATGATGGCTGAGGATGCAGTCATTGTGACACTTAAACGACAGTTATGAAACGAAGTGTGGCTCAAATATTGCTGCTCTCCGCTGGGACACTCAGTTATTGAATGCTAATTGATTGAGTATCACTCGTGCTAATCACACTGCTGTTTTGCCAGCTGTGATAGTGCTCACAGCCTGGGAGGTGGTGGATCACTGTTGCACTCACCCTCAACATTAAGCTCCCCCTGACTCCGCCGCCATTAGTTACTGTGTGTGGGCACGTCGTGCCCTCGGGTCAGCCGGCGTGGAGAATAGAGCTCTGTCATTTCGCTGATTGTTTTCCAGGAATTGTTTTTCTGGATGTGTGTGCGGTTTGGTGAAGCATTATAAATCCATCAAACGGTCATTCCTGAGGTTTTGTTCCTTCCCCGACGTCATCTCCCGCAAGATGTACCAGTCTGCTGATGGGAAGCATTACCTCTACAGAAATCAAAACAAAGGTGTTTGAGAGTACCACATGCTTAACAGTTGCAAGTTGCTCAATGATTGCTTACGTTGGATAAAAAAGAAATTGCTGTGGTGCATTCCTTTTCTCTTTTTTTGCTTGGAGGCAAAAGTCTTATTGGCTCTGTTTTCTGCGCACCTTATCTGTTGATTCTGTTGTTTACTTCAGTCTTATCGTCACCTGCTTTATGTGCGTATCTCACCTGATGCTGTGCCCATCTTCACATCAGCAATCTGCTTACAGGGACTTATAAAGTTACTCAGACTGAACACTTCACTGTAAAATCACTGTAAAAAATAATAAAAACTGTTTTATTACAAGAAATCAAATTCAAGAATCCCTCCCTGTATAGAAAGTTTCCTTAGTCTAGAGGTGACTTAGCTGATCAGTGTCATACTGCTTAGTGAAAGATCATGTCATAGAAATAATGTCGTAGAAATGACACTTTAAGATACCCAAAGCTGGATACAAAATGTACTGCTTCATTTGAAGAAGCAAATACTTCTAAATCTAAAAGGTTAGGTTGTGGGTTTTACATATCACTTGGAAATTATTTTCTCCACTTACTGACATATTGGGAATAAACAAGTACCGTGAGATGACTTCTTAACTAAATGTCCAGATCATCCAGAGACCGTGCTAATATTTTCTGTGGACTGAATGTGCAACCCAAAATGTAATAAGGGGAAACTTCTCAAAGGGATATTTTGATGATTTTCAACCAGCTTTGTATCCTAACAGTGCAGATAGTAGGTAAAAAATGACTGTTGTTAAAATTACCTCCGTCTTCCCAGTGCTCAGATCTCCCCACTCATCTCTCATCTTAGGGGCTGTGCTTGAACTACAGACTGTACTCCCGCATTTTGATAAGCCTGCCACCACGGACAAAAAGAGTATAGAGGCGAATCAAGAAAGAGACCTGCCCTTATCTCTTTCTTTCTCTCTTAAACTCAGACCACACTCAAATTAAACAGTAAACCTAGGCAGTGCTGATCAAATATAAACCAAGATTCTGTTACTGTATTGCCTATTTCTCAACTAAATTGTTCTCAAAAACATATTTTAGTGCACTGTTTGTCTGTAATGTGAGAATTTGTGAACTGAAAGTGGGCACCATACGGTTTCCTGTATTGTAAAAATGGAGGCAAAATGAACTGAGAATAAATGGTAAAACTATGCAGTGATGATATAAAATATGAACCAGGTTTCTGTTATTGCCTAAAGTGTTTACAGAAAATTTTGTTGAGCTTACTGTTTAACTGTAATTCGAGATCGTTACAAGCTGGTTGTCATATTGTTTCCTGTGTAAAAACGCCAAGCTCGCATTATGTCATTATGTCACCCACCAGTGGGAGCATTTATGGGTCCAATGTGGCACAGTGCAGTCTGGTTGCATTTTTTGAAAAGACCATCTTTCCAGCAGGGAAATACTTCTTGAAGATAAGGCACAGAAATGCTTCTACTTGTCTTTGTCGAGATATCCCAATAGAAACATATACTGATCATATATATATTGTGTTATCTCCCTTTTGTGTGAAATAACACCTGGTTTGGCGATATCTCTGGGTAGAGTTTTCATGTCTTTTCAACACCTGTCTGAAATCATCCATCAGCTTGGATTCCTAGCTTTCTAACCTGTCAGTCTAAAAACTGACATTTCTGGATGCCAAAAGCTTCAAGCAGTGTTTGTAATGCTAAGCATGAGGCAAAAATCTTTGCTTTTGTTTTTTGAAATCTGAGTCAGCTTACTTCATTCAAGGCAGAAAGGAAAGGAAATTCCCCAAACTTCCATCAATAAAGGAGAAAAAAAAAGAAAAGGAAGAGGACATTGCTCAGACTAGTGATGTGATAATGAATCATAAGATGTCTTTTTCTGTTGTGTCTCACAGGACTACCCCAAAAACAGACATCCAGGCTGGAGCAGAGGGTCTATAGCCTATCATGCAGGTGAGCATTTGCTGATTCACCAGTGCATGATGATCTGTTGATGTGTTTCTTTTCAGTCATTGGAAATGTTACCAAATTGTGTTTCTGGGACAGGTAGAAAGAACAGATTTGTTATTATTTTATTATTATTAATCATTATGTCAATAATAATGAAATATTTATAAGGTTATGTAATGATTTCTTAGATTTCTCAGATGCTTTCTTTGGCTGCCACCAGCTGGAAACAGCCACAACTGCTGAAAATAGTTCACAATACACTCATTAGTATCACTGCATATGTTCTTCTCTGTGTCTGCGTGGGTTCACTCTGGTTGCTCTGGTTTCCTCCCACAGTCCAAATCATGCAGGTCAGGCGAACTGGAAACTCTAAATTGCTCGTAGGAGTGAGTGGGAATGAGTTTGTCTGTCTATACAGTGGTCCAGAAAATAAATGGATGGATGTTACTTCACATTGCTCAGCCAAACAAAAGGATGTGTGTAAATGTTAGTGATGGTAGATGATGTCTTGTGTCTTCTTGATTGTGTCACACTCTCTCATGCATGTGACTCAAAGCACTAATCAGCATCCTGGTCATTCTTTGTAGATGATGGCAAGTTGTTCCAAGGCAGCGGGGTCGGGGACGCGTTTGGACCACGCTGCTTTGAAGGGGACATTATGGGCTGTGGAATCATGTTTCCACGCGACTACAGCCTTGATGGTGGAGGTGAACATCTTGATTGTGTTTCCAAAGCACTTTGCTTCATGATGTGCAGCCTCTAATCATCTCTTTCTGTTTATGTGTCTGGGCTCTTTCAGATGACGTAGACGACTGGGACTTCGAAGTGATTCCCAAACCCAGCGAGGTTCAGAATGACTTGTATGCGAACAATGAAGATGAGGAGGATGAGGGAGAAGACATGGAGGGGAGGAAGGTCACGGTGAGATGCTGTCAAAATCTGGAAATATAAAATCAGGCACTCTTAAAGGAGCTTATTATGATATTCAGAGTGTATCTGTGATTCAGAGGTTGTCTGCACACAATTCTCAGCGTGGGGGTGGCTGAGCTGGGGAGTAGCATCAGCTAAAGGTGCCAACAGTGTTAACAGTACTTACAATTGCAACAATGCTGACAGAGCTAACAGTGTTAACCAGGGGGAAGCAGAGGGTGGGTGCTACACCTCAATGACAACACTGTCCCAATATCAGCAATTACTGCTACATAAGTGCAGTGCAAAGTGGTGGTGGTGAGCTAGCCAGCGGGATTCACACACAGGGACTCACATGCACTAACATGCACAGGTGAGCAGCTCGGATTACAACACACAGAGGGAGCAAGACTTCATTCTTTGCTCAGGATGCCATTACTCCACTATATCTTTACAAAACAAATAGTGGTTTGCTGCTTCATTAATGTTCTGAATATTGTTTAGAGCTCCTTCAAACAGTCGGTTCAAACATTCATATTATCTCCTTGCTATCCTCTTGCGTTTGAACAGGTGTTCTTCACCAGAAATGGAAAGGTCGTGGGCCGGAGGGAAGTGGCCTTACCCATAGGAGGGTTGTACCCCACGATTGGCATGATGAGCACCGGGGAGAAGGTCAGAGTGGACCTGCACCCTCTCAGCGGCTGAGCAGAGTGAAGGAAAACTGAGCGGAGAAATCAGAGCAGTGACAAATGATTGAGCACTCGATCAGATAATAAATAATACCGCCACAGCAACAGGCTCCAAAGGTGTTACTTGAAAAGTCACTCCAGTGTGGAAGGTGACTGTGGCTCCCTCATGCTGTCAGAATGATCAGAACAATGCATGTTAATATCACATGCGTGCTTTAAAGAAGTGCTTTATAATTAAATGGTTTCATAGGAAAAAATTAAACCAGAGGTTTGTTTAGGTGACACGCATCATCGCAGAGTAAAGTTCATGAAATAACATAAAAAGCCAAAAAAAAAAAAAAGGCTCTCGCCAGGACAGTGAATGTAAAAAAAATCCAATCAATGTCGACTCCAGCAAACAAGTGGACCCTCTTATCAGCAACAGAATGCAGTATGTCAGCAGTAATGTAGCTCCACTCTCACCACTCGCAGCCGCACTGTGCTCATTACCAGAGGTCTGCTGTGCTTCCTCCTATCGATGGTGTGTTACTGACACTCAGTGGTGAGAGTGATAGCTTGAAAAATAATGCTCAGAAAGTCTTCCAAAAAAAAGAAAAGAAAAAAAAGCAGTATGCGCAGACTGAACGGTGAGTTTACTCTGTGATGCAAAGTCAGCTGCTTTATGAGTGGTTCTGTACAAGTGTGAGTGCTTGTTGTATCGTGGAGTCATTACTGCATGTTTTGTGGCAGCTGTGCGGGCCACATGCATCAGGAATTATGGGATAATTGAATGTAAGTTGAAACCAGATTATTTTGGTTTTAATGCCAAGGTAAAGCAAAATTCCAAATTTTATGATATCATGAGTAGCTGTTGTTTAATCAGGTATGATTTTGACCTAATTGAGAACATACAATAGACGAGATGTACTGTCATAACGTGCAGGTATAATCACTCCAAAGTCTTTGTGAGAAACATTTGTCATGTCAGCAGATGTTCATGAAGCCATACTGTAAAACTTGATGCTGTCAGGTATCTTTGAGAATCAAAATTACATACCTTGTCTTTTCTATGATTGTTTTTGTGATTTTGCTGTATGTTCAAGTCAACCAGCGATGGCCACAAACCTGTAATGCATTTTTTGGGGGGGGGGTGGTTATTGTTATTTTCTTATTGAATCAATATCTTTGACATTGAAGCCTGTTAAAGTAGAAGTGACACCAAATTTCCAAATACACCTACCTTTTTTTTTTTTTTACAAACAGAGGTAAAGGCTCTGCTGCTGGTATCAGTTCACACATGTGCTACAACTTGTGAATCATTTAAAAAAAATATATAACAAGAAGCTGTTAATTGCAATATTTTTTAAAGTCTGACATTAACAGATACAATAATTTATGTTTTACAACCAGACTGTTGTTGAACATTTGACCTGATGAGCAAAGTGCCTGTGTGAGTAGCTCCAGTCTGGACCCTTATCAGGTGATCCTTGTATGTGTGTGGCATGTGTCAGTTCACAAGTTTGTGGAGCTACATTCACACTGAAAAACTTCTTATACACCTCATAGTAAAAGTGCCAAAAACACATAAGGATTCATTGCGTCCATGAAGTGTCCTCCTGGTCAGCAAAAAATGTAAAAGACAGGTGTTCATGTGATGCTCAACTGCTGCTAACTGTGTGCCGAGGAAACATGCACATCATCATATCAGCCTGTACTGTAGACAGGGTGTACTCATGTCCCACTTTTCACTGTCATTGTCCAATTTTGTGTTTATGATCATCTTAGTTCACAGGAGCTAAATTTGATGTTCTGCTGCTGTTGGCTGTCTGCCACACGCTTTTAATATTTAGCCCATTTATCGTCTGTGTATTTAATCATGAATGAAGTTTAACATCAGTCTCTCCCAGTCCAGCCCTTATTGTGTACATCCTGTCTTATATGTTTGTATTTCATTTTGCCTTTTCTCTCCTTCGTCGTCTCTTTTCACTTAAATCAATCAGGTAAACATGCCAAAAATAGTTTTCATGAATAAATATTTACACCCTGCTTTTTGTGGTGTCGTGTTTAATATGAATAACATATGGGGCTGTCTGCTGACTTTAATGCTAATGAGATCATCTTGAAACGCAGACCAAACTTTCAGTGCCTAAATTATGTATGTGTGATGAATATTCTTCTCACATTTGTCTTCCTGTGGTTGTATTGTAGTATTGGACTGAAAATAAAATAAGTTTTTGCCTTTTCTAAAAGGGCTAACCCTTAATAATTCATATAGCTTGTTAACTGGATTTCAAAAGATGTAATGATCTCAAGAAGCTGTTTGGGCTTATTGATGTTACAGAGATTTTGTGTCAATGTCTTTGATGTCTATAAACTATCAAAATTTAAGCACTTACAACAGTGGAACTTACAGCTCAACAGTAAGCACTGATAATATTAACAGGGCTTACAATCGTGATGCCTTCAGAGGAGAGTATAAATATTGGAAAACCTAAAAAAAAACCCAAAACATTAATTTCTCTAGAGGAGATAATATCAATCATTCAGTTAAATGTGAGCCTTTTCTTTGGCTCACTGTAGTTGTCTCCTCTCAAATTGATGGCACTCATAACAAGACATAAAAAAGGGCACTCATCAGGAAGCTGTTCATAGTAAAAATCCAGATAAACGGCAAACTCTGTTTCCTTACTGATACATTTTAATTGTTTTTTTTAACAACAGTTCAGACTGTAATGCCCAATGTGTCATTATACAAATTATTAAAATATATTCTGCAGTGCAAACATATATTCCACGGCATATATTAAAATACAAAGTGTTTACATACCATATAAAAAGGATCACATTTGTTAAACACAAATCCAGAAGGCCCGATGAGATTACACGTATTGAGATGTTATACTGAAAGAATAGCTATCAGCAGAAACCTTGATTAGTTGTATTTGATTGATCATATTTTCTCCTTTTATTCTGGAGATTAGAGCAGTTCAGGAGCAGGCAAATTCTTTATCAAACCAGAGAGCCCCCTGCAGGATAGTGTTGTTACCGGCTCGTCTGTTTGTGTATTCAGATGCTGGGAGAAGATAAAGGCTCAATTAAGCAACACACTGCATATTGTCTGGTCTATAGTAGTTCAGCATTTCCAGTCATTTTAATTCCTCTGATAGTCCTGTGAGACGAGACACAACACAAAGGCAGCACTGACACAGAGAAAAGACAAAACAATGCTGGTTTGCCTAAACCTTCTGCAGAGCATTGTCATTTGGTTTGTTTTTTCTTCAATTTACAATTTAAATTGAGGCAATATGTAAAAATATAAACAACAAAAGGCCGAGACATTTACTCTGCAAAAACATCTTAAAAATGCAGTACTTGTGTGTGCTTTCTAAGTGGAAGATACGTCGCTGTTTCCTGCATTCAAAAATACACATAATGACTGCTTTGCTTGAAGCACAAGGGCACTGCCTGTCATTAAAAAGCACTTAAAGTGCCACATATAGTATAATGGTTTTCGGACACACCACCTGCAAATAAAACGCCACTGATGGTGCATATAATTATCAAGAGATGATTCAATTTAATAGAGGCCCACCTTCCAGTATAATCAGGAGACATATAAAAGTTGCATTAATTTTTTTTACAGTATATAATTAAAATGTAAAAAAAAAAAAAAAATCAAATATTTGTATTTTGACAATTAAAGGCAGTTATTGCAACATGAATGCACATACACATACCTATTCCACATTGTTGCATCTCTCCTATAACACTATAAAATATGGCAAAACTACATTTATAATCTACCTATGAACTGACCAAACAAAACTGTACACCAAGTGTTACATGGTGGACGGAGATGTTTCTATGAGTCAGAGTCCTCTTCGTCATAGTAGCGGTTCCTCTTGATTATATCCTCTGCGCTCAGCTCCTCAGCATCACTTCCTTCTTTGTCCTCTTCCCAGAAGCCCACATCCTGGGAGGCGCGGTTCTGTTTTGGCTGTAAAGGTGGAGAGGGTGATGGTGAGATATCCGGAGAGATGCTTCTATGAGAGCCTCCATCTACCGCCGTCTTGTCTGCTGCTGCCTCTCCTCTCTGTTCTTGTTTGACTCTTTCTTCCTGTTGCTCAGTCTCCACGTCCTCCTCTGAGATGGCCTCAGCTGCATTTGCTGCATCTTCACTGGGTGTTTGAGGCATCGTCTTCTCTTTCTTTTCCTCTTGTTTTACTTGCTGAGGCTCTGGCTTATTTTCCTTGGGTGGCTCTTCAGATGGGTATTTTTCCTCAAATGACGCTCTCCATTCCAGCAAGGATTTGAGGGGGCGACGAGGTTCCCTGGGTCCCAGGCTGGTTGCGGGGTTGGGTCTAGCTGCGACTGTGAAAGGCCGACTGCGCTCCTTTAGAGAAGAGCTCCTCCTCAGGCTCTTCAGTTCAGCCCGCTCTGTGCTCTGGAAGGATGATGGCACCTCGTCCTCTGGGGGCCACTTGGCTCTCCAGGGTCGGCCCGAAGAAACTCCCTCCGTGACCGGACTGAGTGCTTCTGTCACAGAGTGGCGCTCACCAGCCGGGGGAGGCCAGGCTATCCTCAGCCTACGTTTCTCAGCTGGCTTCTCTGTAGACTCAAGCTTCTCCTCAGACCTGGCATGTGTCTGAGCATGTGTCTCCAGTAAGGCAGTCAGGTCTGTAACCTTAACCGGTGAGGATTCTTCCACAGCTGGAGTCGCCTCATTGTCTGAGATACTCTCAGCTGGACGTGTCACCAATGCTGGTACCTCTTTTTCCTTCGGCGTCACCACTTCCTCACCTTCTTCTCCATCACCTCGAGGCTCCCAGCGCTCCTTGTGAGGCCGATGGCCGAAGCCCTCATCGTAGTTGCCTTTAGCTTTGAACAGCTGGTTGAAATGGGGCTTGCAGTAGACATTACCATGCAGAGAGGCATAGTTCAAAAGACTAGAAATAAAGAGTAGCAAAAGATATTATTTAGCAAATGTCCCTCTTTGTAGTTCTTCAGTCAGCCACTGAGGAGGCATTTCAAAATAGAAATCAGATCAAAAGACATGATGAAACTCCAGGAAATGTGCGACAGTGTAAGACTAACCTGAGCTTGGTGCTGCAGTGAACACAGCGGAAGCAACTTTTGTGGTAGACGTGCTGAAGGGCCACCAGCCTCTCCAGCGGGTACACCGTCTTTAGACAAGCGATGCATGTCTCCCTCACCGGTGGGCTGAACTTCTAAACACACAGCAGTCACATACATCCATAAATAACAATTAACAAAAGCTGAAATTAGACTTTTCTTTCTATGAGTCATGCATGTCTCCTGCTTGTTGTGATGACTGACTCACCCTGGATGCTTTGGACTGCTCGCTGCTCTCCCCTGAAACAGATCAAACACACAAAACATCAGTCACTGCGCTGAAAAGGTCAATCCAACCAAACTGTATCTCATTCTGGGTGCCAGAGTAATCTGAATATATTAATATTGTGGTTAATGTTCTGTTTCACATTTTATATTACAGGCAATTCTTTATCAAGAACATGAACGTATCCATGAAGACTCACCATTGCACTCAGGTGCAGGAGTGTATTTCTGATTTACTGGTGCAGATGTTTTTGGAGCAGACACCTCTGGAGTCAAACCCTGGAGGAAACAAAGTAAAAGAAAAGAGGGAAACAAACATTCGTCAACTCGCAGTTACATAATGAACCGTTGTGTGTTTTTCCATTTTCTGGTGTAGGAAGGACAAAGGAAGACAACAAACAATTTACATGCAGTAATGTAAGTAGCTAGATCTGTGGAAAAAGACATGTACATTACCAGTAAACAATGTTGCCTCACTCACTACCACCTTTAAACCTGGTGCATGAGAAATGACTTATTTCAGATCATGTTGTCTTAAAAATGTCAAATGTATTATCTTTTTTAATGTCAGGGCAAACTCCATTAATCTGGGAATACTATTATCAACCTATACATGATTTTTTTTTTTTCACAGCAATTATCCTTATGAATTATTGGGAAATTTCTTAATTTTCATTCATTTAGAAAAGACACACTTCTAAATATATATCACAAAGGTTTAGTATATTTTAGAGAGATTATATCTGTTCTGAATTCAGCTTCTATTGCATGAACTCACAGAGCGAGTGGTGCCTTGTTTGGAAACAGCAGCCTGGTACTTGGCCATCTTCTCCTTCATGGATGTGGACTCCAACACTCTGTTGGGCACAGACAGACCTACAGCAGAGCAGATGATCACACTTAATACTTTGACTGTGGCTGCATTTCACTTTAACAGCAAATGATTGTTCTTCAGATTAAGAATTACTATTCACGATCCAGTTGTGACACATATTACTGTGTTCCCGGAAAACAAAACTGCTTGTAAATCAGTAGTTTTGTGATTGTAGGTTAGGGGTTAGGAGATGACAGTTAATTTAATTCTGTGTACTGCATCACACCCACTGATAAGTACAGAACCCCAGTTAATTATTCAAAGGGCTGAGTGTGTTTGCGTGTGTTTGTCTTTACCGCCATGTTGGTCCATGTCCTCTGATGAAGTGCTGCGACGGGTTGTCCTGCCGCCCTGTAAGAGTAAAATGATTGGTGGAATTAGAGGTCCTGTTTACAAAACTGGAGCTATAAATTGATTAGTTAATGGCATGTATCAATCATTATATTTGTCATTACATGTGCAACATTGTCAGATCTACAGAGCCTTACTCTTTCTTTCTTTCAGCCAAACAAACTTTACTTAAACTTTTTTACTTTCTTAAAAGGCTAACTCTTTGAATTTATGTTCCTATATCTGATAAGAGTTTTTTTAGACCACCATACTGCTGCAACGAGAATTTTGATGCAATGAAGTGGACCTACATAGAAAATATCACTTTATTTGTCAGTATTGTTTACTTCTATCATCTGTAATTTTTCAGCAATGTACAGAATAGATTTTTGTAGAAACAGCATATTGTAAAGGTGGTTCAGTTTGTGTCTGATTACCTTTTTTCTGAGACAAAAATATTCAGGTATTCATGGTTAAGTACAGG